GGAATCACTCCTGGCGGTGCTCGGGGAACCATATGGGATGCTGGGAATCGAACCTGGGTCGGTGCATGCAAGGCAAATGCCCTACCTGCTGTGCTATTGCTCCAGCCCCTCCACCCCCACTTTCCACCCTCACCAAAACCAGTGTCTCAACCTCCAAAGTCAGCGCAGGCTGCAGCTTGGATGAGGCTCCTGTTTTGCTGTTTTGGGTGGAGAAAAGAGTCAGTAGGATTGGAGCTGGGAGAGGCCAGTGTGGCAGGAGAGAATCTTCTGGATGCTAGGGGTCAGGAGACATGACAGAGAAGCAGGGTCTGTTCTGGTGCTAAAGAAACCCCCAAACTGTTGGAGCCTGGGGACAGCTCTGCTGTCTATGGACAGTCATTAATCCAACAATTTATTTGAGTGTATGGTTTGGGCCACACCTGGCTTACTCAAGGCTTACTCCTAGCTCTGTACTCAGGAATCACTCCTGTGAGTCTTGGGGGACCATATGGGATGCCAGGGATTGAGCCAGGGGACAGTTGCGTGCAAAGCAAGTGCTCTTCCTGCTGTACCATTGCTCTGGCCACAATCCAACAGCTATTTTGGATGCCACTCTTAGGAACCAAGCACCGAGACCCCTGCCTTCGGCAATTCCTCTGAGACCTACACATGTCTGAGGGAGGGGATGGATGCAGAGGTGCGGGGAGGAGCCCAGAGCTTGAAACACCTCGACATGCTGGGCACTGCATCTGAGTCCTCAGAGCAATAAATCGGACGTGGAGGTGGACTCCTGCCCTGTCACAGGCGGTCACTCACTCAGCTCAGAGAGGCCCACCCGTAAGTCCCAGGTCACCCAGCAGAGCTCCGTGTCACCTGGGTCCTAGGACTCCAGAGCCTTTGCACTATCCTTTATGCCACCACTGACACTGTGAAAGGGGGACCTGGCCCTGGTGGCGGGATTCCAGAGGGGCGAAAGCTCCCTGCTGAGAGTAGCAGGGCAGCGAGGGCAGAAAAGGCCTGGCTGAGGCATCCTGGCAGCAAAGACTGGGCCAGAGGCCAGTGAGGACAGGCTCGGGCAGTGGCCAGCTCTTCCGTTTGGTTTGCTCCTGGACTCGTTGATTTTGAGGCTGCAAGCCAGGGAGTGGGCTGAGTGGCTTTGTTACAGGCAGCAATGAGAAACAGAGACAGCCCTAAGGAAACCCCTCTAGGCATAACAAAGGAAAGTGGACCATGGTGGTGGGGGGGGGGGGGGACACACACTATAATCTGGCCCTCACCCACACAATCCCCAGAGGGCCTGGGCTAGCAGTGGCACAAAAGACTTCTTGTTGGGCTGGCAGGAACAGAGTCCAGCGGTGGGAAGGGGAGCCTGGTGGTCATCAGGGAGCAGCAGGACCCCTCGGCCCTGGCCTCCAGTCCCCGTGGCCAACTGCTCCCTGCCCGCTTGTCTGGTGGAAATGGACCACCCCTGCCCCTTCCCCCTCCCTCCAATGCCCAGGACTGCTTGTCCCTTCAGGCCTGTACCCCTCCTCCTTCTATTCCCAGAAAGCCAGGCAGCTGCGTGCCTCAGGCCTGTGCTCTCTTGTGACTTCACCGTAAAGCGACTTCTCTGAAGAGTAGAGGAGCCGGGGGACAGAGGCTGTGGGGGGGGGGTGCAGGAGCTCAGGATCCCTTCCTCACCACCCCCACCCCCCCAATCCACGTGCTGCCTTCCCTGGGGTCGCCCTGTCATCCTGGACCAGTGTTTCTCCAGGAGACGAAGATCTGGGGGAGAGGCAGGAACACGGGGCTGGGGGGTACCAGTCTGGGTCAAGGGCTTCACTTCCGGAAGACTGGGGGGCAGCCGGAGCAGAGATGGAGAATCCGAGCACAGTCAAGGCAGGGTGAGGCCAGGCAGGGATGCTCCTAAGCACAGGCTTCCTGGAAGACTCAGCCCTACACCCCCATCCCCCTGGGCTGGGCCCCTGGGGAAGAGCAAGGAGACAAAGACTCCCTGTGCCAACCCCCACCCCCCAGGGAGGGTGAGGTCAAGGTGACCTCGAGCTGTTCTCCCTGGGCTCGGGGCCTCTTTGGCAAATGTGGCCTCCCAGGGCAGGACCAAAACCAGACTTGGGCTAATTCTTCCCATCTTCCACCATGTCTATAGACATGGGCTAATTCTTCCCATGCTCTACCTTCCCACAGCGCACAGTGCATGCTGCCTCCTTACAAAGAGCAAAGGCAGGACCTGGCATGGATGTGCCAGGCTCCGGGTTGCAGAATTACACCCCGCGAGCCCAGCCAGAGGGCACATCTAGGCTTTGTATTTAATTTGCCCATTTTGTTTTGGTTTTGGGCCACACTCAGTGGTACTGAGGGCTTAGTCCTGGCTCTGTATTCAGGAATCACTCCTGGCAGGGCACGGTGGACCATACAGGATGCCAGGGATCAAACCCAGGTTGGCCATACGTAAGACAAGCGAGTCTTATCTGCTCTTCTGCTCACCTGGCTTTGATAAAGGGTGCACTGGGTAGGGAGACCCTGGGAAAGGCAGATCTGAGGTCACAGGGCCAGGCAACTTGGGCCCTGGTACCAGCTGGGCACCTACAGCCCCACCAGCTTGGGCCAGATCTCTTTTCTGAACTTATCAGCGGGGTGGCTGTGACCTGCTTGAAGGTGGCTGCAAGGGTCAGCTGACTGTAGGGCACAGCCGCAGCCATATGGGAATGTGCCCAGTTCAACTCAGGATATTTGCACAGCGTGAACTGCAGGCGAGGCGGGGCTTCTGATTAGGGTGAGGAGGAAGATAGTCGCGTTAGTTTTAGGGACATATCTGGTGGTGTTCAGGGACTACTGGCTCCATGCTTCGGGGTCACCGCTGGCGGAGTTCAGGGGACCATGCAATGCCAAGGATGGGATTGGGGCTTCTGCCCACAAAGCCATTCAGTCAGGCTCCCTTTGGGCCCTAGGGATTATTCTTAGCCCCAGTGAAGATAATCAGTCTAGATTATCCAGTAAAGATAATCAGTGTATGGGACTGGAGTGATAGTACAGAGGGTAGGGCACTTGTCTTGCACCTGGCCTGCTTGGGTTTAATCCCTGTGTATGCCATACAGTCCCCTGAGTATCACCAGGAGTGATCTCTGAGTGCAGAGCCACAAGTAGCCTCTGAGCATGGCCAGATGAGGCCCCCAAAACAAAAAACAAGACAAAACTAAACTAAAAAACACAAATATAATCAGTCTTCTTTGAAGTGCATTTCTGGAAGACATTTTCTTTCTTTTCTTTCCTCTGTGCTAGGGACAGAGCACAGGGTCTCCTGCATGCAGCAAAGCATTCACTGGACGGTGCTTCCCACCCCTGGAGATCTGTGAGCCCCTTCCTCATGCTCAGGCAACTGTGACCGCTGGGACTGGGGGTGAGGGCCAGCTGGTAGTCTTGCCAAAGAGGAGACTGTAACCAGACATGAGGGAGAGACTGAGAGTGTGTCCAGACATTTCAGCTTTGCTGCTTTAAGTGTCAGTTTTTCAGGGTGGGGGGTTGTAGCTGAGCATTTGCTCTATAGATGTGAGATTAATAGTTCAACCCCCAGCACTGCAAGAATCAAAAGCATAGGGACAATGGTGAAAGGAAGGTGACAGAGGTGGTGGGGTTGGGGTGGGAATATTACATGCTTGTAACAAATTCTTCATGAACTATATAAACCATGGTGTTTACATAAAGTGGAAAAAACAAAAACAAAAGCAAAAAACAAACCCCAAACTTCTCTTTTTCTCTGAAGTAAAAAGAATGACAATGAGGGACCAGGAAATTAATGCAAACTCTGAGTTCCAACCCTCAGGCACTCCTGGGTATCGCCCGGGTGCCAGCCAGAGCACCACTGGGAAGAAGGGAAAAACTTTATTTTTTTTTTTCTGCTTTTTGGGTCATACCCAGCGAAGCACAGGGGTTACTCCTGGCTCATGCACTTAGGAATTACTCCTGGCGGTGCTCAGGGGACCATATAGGATGCTGGGAATGGAACCCCAGTCGGCTACGTGCAGGGCAAACGCCGGACTGGCTGTACTATTGCTCCAGCCCAGAAGAACTCTATTTTTTAAAAAAAATGAATGAAAATAGGAGGAGCAAGAGGCCAGAAGCTGGGGGAGAAAGGGATGGAGAGAAAAGGACAGATCTAGACAGGATCAGGGAAGGAGGGGGAAAAGACTGACACTCCCCAAACCCCCCACATGAGGTCTGGACCAGCTGGGCTGTGAGTGGGCAGCAGGGGGCCCCTTCCTGGGTGCTGCCAACACTAACTGCCAGGCAGAAGGAAGGCCAGGGAGGGGAGGGAAGCTGGGCGAAGGGGATGGATAGCATCCAGGAGGGCCTTGCTCAACACACAGGCCTAAACAGGGGGCTGCCACAGGGAGGGACCCTACAGGTAGCCGGGCTTATAGGCTCCCGGAAGCTCCCCACATTCACTGCGGACTGCGGAGGTAGGTGCAGCCTCAGCAGGGGCCGGAGTGGGTGGAGGGTGGAGGGGCCCACCGGGCCCTGTGCCCCCCGGAGGACCGGCAGGCCCCTGCCTCTCTCGGGACCCAGGTCTTATCTGCAAATCGCAGGGTGGGGGGTGGCGACACTTGTAACTGCCAAGGTTCTTTCCTGTGACGGCTGCGGGGAGTAATGGAAGGAGGGGAGCAGGGCCCTGGTGATGAGCTGGCTTCTCTGGAATCCCCATTTCTTCCCCCCCACCCCCTAAAGGCTTTGCCTCTGAGGTCACAAAAGCCCTGTCCCCAACCCACGGACACCCGCACGCACGCTCGTTAAAATGCAGACAGTCCCTCCCTCCTCCCGTTCCACGCAGGCGAGCCCAGAGGCCCCGCGGTGGGGTTTCCAGGGCCCGGGTTTTCCCGGCTCCCGCAGTCCGGGGCCTCGGGCCACCCGGGGCGGCGGGGACCCCGGGGCCGCGGCCGTCGGGGCCGCCCCCGCGCCGCCCCGCCTGGCGGCCGCCGCGCCCCCGCCGGGCAGCCGCGCCGAGGGCGGAGGCAGGAGCGCGCGCGGCGGGGAGGGTGTTGGCGAGCGCCCGCGCGCTGTGTATGGTCTAGCGCAGGCAGCTGACCTTTGAGGAGGAAATCGCAGCTCCCGGCTCCTTCCTGTAGTAACAGCCGCCGCCGGAGCGCGGGCCGCAGGGGCAGCCGCTGGGCGCACTGCCCGCCCCGCAGACGGCTCGGCCCCAGCAGGTGGGTGGCCCGGCCGCAGGGGCCCCGCCGCTCCCGCCGCGCGCGCAGCCCCCTACCCCGAGGGCGCAGGCACCGTCGCCGGGACCCCGAGGGGACTTGGGTGCCGCGGGGATGAAGGACGCGGGACCGGGATGGACGCCGTGGAAGGGGGCGACGGGTGCGCGCCGTCGGCTCGGCCGCGGGCAGGGGGCGCTGTCGGGTTGGCCAGGGACGGGGACTGGGGGCGCAGCTAGAGGGGGGCCGCGGGGGGAACGCGTGTCCCCCTTCCCCGCCCCCTCCGACCCCCATCCTCGCTCCCTGTCCACCGCGACCACGTGCCCACGTGGGTCCCGGTCCCGGTGGGGATCGTGGGGGAACCGGTCGGCGACCTGGCCTGATCACTGGGCCGCAGTACCCAACCCGTCGTCGCAGGAATTGGAGCTGGGGGTTCGCAGTCAGGGAAGGGGGTTCTTGCAGAGAGGGCCCAAAAGTTTCTCTTTCAGTTTCTGGCTTGTCCCTTCTCTGGGGGAAGCCCCAGGAGCGGGGTGCGAGGGGACAGGAAGACGGGGAGGGCGCTTGACTCTGGAGAGCAGGTTCCTTGTTGGAGGGTCGTGGGGCCTGTCTCCCATGAAGGGGTCCGGGGTGGCTGACGGGGGCCGGGCGGGGGGTGGGGGCGAGGCGCGTGCTCAGCCCTGCTGGCCCTAGGTGCGCGGACATGGCGGGCTGGATCCAGGCCCAGCAGCTGACCGGGGATGCGCTGCGCCAGATGCAGGCGCTCTACGGCCAGCACTTCCCTATCGAGGTGCGACACTACTTGGCACAGTGGATCGAGAGCCAGCCCTGGTAGGTGGCCCTGGCCCTCGAGCCCTACCCTGGCTGGCCCCTGGTAGGCCTTTAGATCTACCCCCTGTGGTTTGATGTGATTCTGGCCCTGCTCTGCTTGGAAGGGGCGGTGGTCCCCCCTCCCCCGTTAAGGGGAACAGAGAAAGAGAGCCAGGGGAGGGGACAGAGGAAGGGGGTGTTACTAAACTTTGATCCCTGAGGACCTGCCAGCAACCAGCCCTTTGGTCCTGGAATGCCTGCAATCAACTCCCTTGGTACTTGACCTCTTTGCCTAAGGAGATGCCGTAGCCGACTTTTCTCCACTCCCATGCCCCAAGGGATGCCATCGACGTGGACAATCCCCAGGACCAAGCCCAGGCCACCCAGCTCCTGGAAGGCCTGGTGCAAGAGTTGCAGAAGAAGGCGGAGCATCAGGTGGGGGAAGATGGATTCCTGCTGAAGATCAAGCTGGGCCACTATGCCACGCAGATGCAGGTGGGTGCAGGCGCCGAGCCTGGGTGGGCAAGCCACCACTGCCTCTTTTTGCCAGCACCAGAAACCCTGGGTTTTTTCCTGGCTTGGCCACTGACTCACCATGTGACCTGAGTGTCTTGGCCACATTTCTGGGCTTCAGTTTTCCCCGCCCCCTCTCTCTAAGTCAGACCTGGCTGAGTCCTTTAGCGAATCATCCGGCTAGGGGAGTCCCCCAGAGAAGGTCATTCTGTACAGACCAGTTAAGAGGAGCTGGACGTCGACCAAATATAGGAGAAATAAGTCAGACAGATTCTAGAAAGGAAGAAACAGAGCAAGCAGACACCCCTCTTGAGGTGATTTGGAAGCTGGGAGACTTGATGAGGTGGGGAAGGGTAGGGACAGCCGCCCTACCAGCAAGAACTGGATAACGGGGCCTTGAAGAATGGATGTATTTTTTTTTGTGGGGGGTGCACTCCTTGGCACTGCTGAGGGCCTACTCTTGGCTCTTCTCAGAGATCATTCCTTGGGTGTTTGGGAAAGCTGGGGATCAAACCTGGGTCGGCCATATGCAAGGCAAGCACCCTGCCTGCGGTACTCTCTCTCTCTCTCTCTGGCCCCAAAGGGCAGTTTTTGATGTCAGATGTGTCTTCTCCCTTACACCAGGGTGGGGAGGAGAGCACAGGGGGAGAGAAAGAGAGTTCTTTGGGATTTTTTTGTTTGTTTTGGGGTCACAAGCTCAGGAATTACTCCTGGCTCTGCACTCAGGAATTACTCCTGGCAGTGTTTGGAGAACCACATGGGATGCCAGGGATCAAATATGTGAAGAGACAAATTTTAGTAGAAGCAAAGAAAGGGGTGTAGGTAGTAATAACAGTCAAGAATTTATTGGTACCCACTCGTACTTTTTAGTGAATCCTTCTTAAAAACGAGCAATGAGAAGCCAGAAAGGTACTAGGCAGACAGGGTATTAGCCTTGCACGCAGCTGACCTGGGTTCAAACCCTGACGGCCTGTATGGTCCCCTGAGCTCTGCCAGAAGTGATCCCTGAGCTCAGACACAGGAGTAAGCCCTGAGCACCCCCAGTGTGGCCCAAAACAAAAACAAAACAAAAAACCCAAAAACAAACAAACAGACCAACAAGAATACCTGAGTAACACTGTGCCAAGGAAATCAGAGAACCGGGCCGAGGGTGTGTGTGGGGAACAAGAGAAGCCTGGGAGGAAGAGGGAAACGAAATAGGAAGCCAGAAGCCAGAGCACACAAGGGTGGAAAGTACCTTGAACTTGCAGGAGGGGTCCCCGCTCTGAGCTTAGCTGTTGACTTGTTTGTCTGTTTGAGGAGCGACTCAACCTCTCTCCGATTCAGTTTTTTCCTCTGTGAAATGGTGCCAATGGTGTCCCCTTAGGTCTTGGGGTTTCTGTGTTGTCAGAGCTGGAGATGGTGGCGGTAGGACGTGCTTTGTGACCTGTGGCTTCTAATTCGCTGCCGAGCAGCAAGGAGCTTGAGGAGGGGAAGTCACATCAAGAGAGAGAGAGAGAGAGAGAGAGAGAGATTGAGAGAGAGTATCATTGTATCATTGGGCTGGAGCAATAGTACAGCACATCTCACCTTGCATGGAGGGTTCCATCCCTGCATCCCAGTATGGTCCCCTGCTCACCACCAGGAGCAATTCCTGAGCACAGAGCCAACTACTCTTAGAGTAGCCCCTAAGCATTGCCAGGTGTGACCCAAAAACTAAAAAGAGAGATTTGGAGGAGCCGAAGCCCCTGGTGAAAGTCCCTCAGTTCCTGAAGCTCCTTGGGGAATTTGGAGAGGCAGGATTGTGAGAGAGGAAAGGGTGAGACAGCAGACTGGCCTGTGCAAAAGCAGGCCACTGGTCACCGTTTTTGGATTCTTCCAGAACACGTATGATCGTTGCCCCATGGAGCTGGTGCGCTGCATCCGCCATATCCTCTACAATGAGCAGAGGCTGGTCCGAGAAGCCAACAATGTGAGTGTCTGGCGCACGGGTGCAGGTGCGGGGGGAGGGGGTGGGGGGGTGGGGGCGTCTGTCCAAATGCCTTTCTCTGCAGACACTGTTTTCTAATAAATGCTGGAGAAAAGAAACAAGGCAGGGTCGCAGGCAGGGGTGGAGCCACCACTGGCCCAGGACCTGGCTCTACTGCTTACAAGCTGTGTGATCTAAGCCCATGACTTACCCTCTCTGATTAAAGTCTACTTCATCCATTCTAATTAGGGGTTATAATACGACCTTGCTTGTAGGGATTGTGTGAGGGTTAAATCAGGGTTAATTTTGTGGGGGAAGGATGTACAAAGCAATGAAACAGAAGAGGAAGCACTAAACACACATACACGCACATACACACACACGCACATACACACACACGCACGCACATACACACACACACATCTGAAAAGTCAGTTTATGTCAGAGACCACAAATCACTGGGGAAAAGATTTATTCTTTTTAGGGGGAAGTGAGGGGAATCACACTTAGGGCTGCTCAGGGCTTACTGCTGACTGCTCAGTTCTTGGGTGACCATATGTGGTGCCAGGGATCAAACTGGGGACAGCCACATGCAAGGCAAGAGCCTTACCCCTGGTACTGTCTCTCCAGCCCAGAGATTGACTCTTTATGGTGTGGACCCCGGTTTCGGGATCACCCCCACTGCTTGGGTAAACATGTCTGAAGGGGATGCTGTGTCTGTCACTGCTGGGCAGGGCTGGGAGGCAGAGCCCAGATCTCTGTGGGGAAGGGTGCCTGGAGAGAATTCTCCTGAAGTTTGGGGACAGAGGTGGGGGAGAAGGATGTTCTGGGGGAGAAACCACCTGGATGTGAGGGTTGGGAGGAGTGAGCCAGCTCACGGAGGCAAGGCACCCACAGAGCCTGCCTAGGGAACGCCAGAGAGGGTGCAGAAGCGGGTCCTCAGCGACCAGGCGGTGTCCCTTGTTGTCACTGTCTAGTTCACTGTAGACATATGAGCTCCTGAAATTCAGTCTCTAGCACAGGGGTCGCTGTTCCTCTCCCGAGCCCCTCTGGGCTCCCCTCCTTGGTGTGAGTGAGGTGCCCACACAGCTGAGCTGGGGGTAGGTGGGAGGAGGGGGAAGCGCATCTCCCCGCAGCTGAGCCCGGCTTTCACAGCGCCGAGTGGCTGGCTAGTGGCGCTGTTTTAAATTGGTCCATCAGCGAAAAGCCAGCTGAAGAGCCGACCTCCGGAGGACGTGGTGCAGAATGTTCCAGAGTGAGGAAACATTGAGTGGAGAGGCCCTGAGGCAGGGACGCGCTGTGTGTTCAAGGAACAGAAAGTCGTCATTGTCCTTGGACAGCCAGGCCGGCGTGTGGGTGTGGGGACTGCGGGAGGGAGGCGGGCTTTGATCCTGAGATTCCAGTCGGCTCGTGGCGGAAGGAAAGGACCCAGCCGGTCACTGAACAGGCCGGACCCACACAGGCCTCGGCGGTGCCTCCCTGTCACTGCCCGTTGGTGTCCCCGATACCACCCGTGAGAGGGGTCCTTTCTTCCCGTGGGTCACAAGAGCATCCGGAGCGTGGACATGGATGACGTGGGATCACGTGTATCCTGGCATGTCCATGACCTTGGGTGGGAGATTCAGTGTGAAATGGGGAAGGGGGGTCGCAGGCAGGAAAGCCAGGTGCTCCCGGGCTGCAGGCGGAGGCGGTTTCATCAGAGCACAGGGAATGGGCCTGTCTGGGAGACACCGTGGGCTGGAGGTTCCTACTGTGCCAGGTGAAGTGCCCGCCGGCCCCTGCCCTTTCCCCGTCTGCCCGATTCTCACCAAAGGTGCTCGCAGTCCTCCAACCCTGAGTGAGAGTGAGTGCCGGGAGCCACTCCATAGGCTGGGGCACAAGCTGTGCATATGGGAGCCCTGGGATCCATCCCTGGCATTGCGTGGTGCCCGAGCACTGTTTCCTGAGCACTGCTAGGGGCAGTCCCCGAGTACCACTGGGTGTGGCCACAAAAGAAACAGAAGTAACCCCTGTGCATCGCTGGGTGTGACCCAAAAAGCAAATAAATAAATAAATAAAATATTAAAAAAAAAGAAACAGAGAATGTGTTTGCATCCCTCTGACTGGAAACACAGCTCAGGGGAGGTGTTGCCCCAGCCCTGTGTCCGTGTTGGCCTTTCCTTGGGAGGAGGGCCTGCGTATCCCCGTCCTCACTTCCCTGCCCCTACCTGCAGGGCACCTCGCCAGCCAGTAGCCTCGCCGACGCCATGTCCCAGAAACACCTGCAGATCAACCAGACGTTCGAGGAGCTGCGACTGGTGACGCAGGACACAGAGAATGAGCTGAAGAAGCTGCAGCAGACGCAGGAGTATTTCATCATCCAGTACCAGGAGAGCCTGAGGGTCCAGGGTGAGCCCGGGGGTCCTGCGGTTACAGCAGAGCCAAGACCACTCTTTGAGCTCCTGCCAGTGGGTGGAGGGAGGCAGGATGGTGTCCTGTGGATCATCCCAGTGGATCTTTGTTTCAGTTTGGGGGCCACACCCAGGGCTGCTCTGGGGTTATTCCTGGCTATTCTGAGCTCAGGGATCACTCCTGGTGGGCTCAGAGGACTATACATGGTGCTGGGGATGGATCCTGGGTCGGCTGCATGCAAGGCAAGTGCCCTGCCCGCTATGCCTTCTCTCCAGGATTCACTTGTCAATCTGCATGACCCCCTAACCCTAAGCCCCGCCTTATTGAGGTCAGAGAGTTGTATTATCCCTGTCTTCCCTGGTACCTCGTGGTCCCTATGGTCCTCTGAGCATCACCAGGAGCTATCCCTGAGCAGAGAGCCAGGAGTAACTCATGAGTATGGCCCCAAACAAAACAAAACACTTGTTTTAAGTTAACATGGAACAATGTTAAATTGTCTCCTAACCTTCCACTGCCACCACTGACCGCCTTTGGTTGCGGAATGGTGGGGAGGGAGGATGGCGCGTGTGGGCTCCCTTGGACCTACCCTGGACAGGCCGGGGAAAGTGGACCCTCCTCGGTGAGGGGCAGGCGTGTTCAATCTGTCACTGCTGCCCAAGGCCCCTGTCTGGTTGGCGGGAGTGATGACCCCCGTCTTGGGTTTTCCGGTTCCGGTGTCCGGGTTGGAGTCCATGAAATGGGCATCCGCATGTCCTGGGAGTGTGGCTGACGCAGAGAACCCTGGCTGGGGCTGTCTGTGAGGGGCTGGGGCGGGGGCAGGGTAGGGCGAGGGGAGGTCATCGTGTGGGGTGCTTGGTGCCTCCTCAGCTCAGAGAGCCCAGCCGGGGCCGCTGAACCCGCAGGAGCGCCTGAGCCGGGACACGGCGCTGCAGCAGAAGCAGGTGTCCCTGGAGGCCTGGCTGCAGCGCGAGGCGCAGACGCTGCAGCAGTACCGCGTGGTGAGTGGCCGGGCCGGGAGATGGGGGGTGAGGGGGAGCTGCCTTCCGCCGGGCGCCCTGCGTTGTTTCTGGGGGTCAGCCGGGCTGCTCTCCCCGCCGCAGGAGCTGGCCGAGAAGCACCAGAAGACGCTGCAGCTGCTGCGCAAGCAACAGACCATCATCCTGGACGATGAGTTGATCCAGTGGAAACGGAGGCAGCAGCTGGCAGGGAACGGGGGCCCCCCCGAGGGCAGCCTGGACGTGCTGCAGTCCTGGTCAGTGGGCGCCGAGGGGCGGGCGGGCCTCAGGGAGGACTGAGGGCCAAAGGCTTCTGGGAGAGGGCGGAGCCGGGTGCTGGGTTCTCAGTGGACGGGGACCCCTGCACCCGGGGCCAGGGAGGGCGAGGTGGTGACACGGGGAGCCTGGGGGCTCCCGCAGGTGTGAGAAGCTGGCGGAGATCATCTGGCAGAACCGGCAGCAGATCCGCAGGGCCGAGCACCTGTGCCAACAGCTGCCCATCGCGGGGCCGGTGGAGGACATGCTGGCGGAGGTCAATGCCACCATCACGGACATCATCTCGGCCCTGGTCACCAGGTGAGGCCGCCCCCGCGCACCGGGTGTGGGGACGGCTCAGCTCCCATGACATCTCTCTCTGCCTGGCCCTCATGTCCCTGCCTCTGGCTGCCTGGGCTGTTCTTGTCCCCTGTGTCCGCTGGCTGCTCCCGCGGGAACCTGGCCTCCCTGGGCACAGGGGGCCCGCCCCGTGCTCCCCGGGGGCACTGTGCCCGCGCCTGGCGGCCTCTGCCCCCAGCCCGGGAGCCCCGTCCGCAGCAGCGTCATGACAGCACCCACTGCGCCCTGTGTCCCCGCAGCACCTTCATCATCGAGAAGCAGCCCCCGCAGGTGCTGAAGACCCAGACCAAGTTTGCAGCTACCGTGCGGCTGCTTGTTGGGGGGAAGCTGAACGTGCACATGAACCCGCCCCAGGTCAAGGCCACCATCATCAGCGAGCAGCAGGCCAAGGCGCTGCTCAAGAACGAGAACACCCGCAAGTACGTGCCCGCCCGCCCGCCTGCCTGGGGTGCAGGCTCTCTCCATCCTGCCCCTTCTCTCCTGCCCGCCTGCGCCGGGGCTGTACCCCCTCCTTGCCACCTGCCATTGCCCACCAGGTGACTTATCCTGTGTGTTTCCTTCCACTCCAAGCAGTTCCCAACAGGTACTCAGCCAACAGTGGCCGACGCTGGGTTGTCCCTGAAGCTGGGCTAAGCAATAGGTCTCGAGTGTCATCCAAATGACCCACTCCCGAGACCTTGTTCCTTTCATGTGTAGCAGAGCTGACATGTCCAGTGGTCACTCCTGTGTGCCCAGGGGAACCTGGCAAAGGGAGACACCTCATTCTCAGGCTATAGGATGTGCAGGGAGCCAGATCAGTCTGTACGAGGACTGTGTGCCCATGGAGGGACCCCAGGGCCAGAACAGTTCAGCTTCACTGTGTCTGGGCAGACTCAGTGTTCGTTGCTGTGTGGTTGCTTCATCATCTGAGGATGATGATGAAGACAGAGCAGTTTCTCCCTGGATAGGGATAGGGACCCTCCTAGACATGCAGTTGAGGGACCAGAGCTATCACTAGAATAGCAGGGAGGGCACTCACCTTGCATGTGGCCAGCCTGGCTTCAATCCCCAGCATTCCATATGTTCCCCTGAGCCTGCCAGGAGTGATTCCTGAGCACAGGGCCTGGAGTAACCCCTGGATAACACTGGGTGTGACCCTCCCCACCACGAAACCCAACAACCAAAAAACAAACCAAAAAAAAAAAAAAGACCAATTCACTCTAAGGCCAAGTCTTCAGGGAATGGCTGGCGGGCTGCCATGTGTCATCTGGGCTCCATCCTTGCAGTGCCACTGACGGCAAAGGGTGTCAAAGCATCAGGCCCTGGGAAACCAGCAGCGGTGTAGAGGTGCCAGCACGTGATTGGCCAGGGCGATCGAGGAAGGCCTGTTGAGGGGAGACTTGGGTTTACACACAAATGAGAAACCCTAGGATGTTTGGGGGTGGGTGGATGGGGCAGGGACATGCTCAGTGGGCTGAGCAGATTCAATTGAGATTTGAACCCTGACACCATTTTTCCCCCCTGCAGTGAGTTGGGGGAGTCCCCCAAATCACCCAGTGTGGCCCCAAGAACAAAACAAAACAAAAATGTGAGGTAACAGGATTAAGTACAAAGCTTGGGGGCTGCAAACAGACGTGCATGTGGGGCGGGTGGGGAAACCCCTCTGAAGTGGGGTAGAGGAATCCTGGGGGGCCATGCAGTGGATCAGGGAGGGTCACACTGATCCTCAGACGCAGGATCACAGGATATATTTTAGAAGCTTCCAGACTTCAAATATCCCATATCCATCTTGAGGCTCAAGGGAAAAAAATTGGAGGGGAATAAGTTGGCTGTGTTTAGGCCTTCCTCATGACTCAGTGCTCAGGAATCACTCCTAGTGGGGGCTCAGGGGACCATATGAGACGCCGAGGATGGAACCCAGGTAGATTGCGTGCAAGGCAAGTGGGCTCCCCGCTGTACTATCACTCTAACCTCAACCTCCCAAGGAATTTTTTTTTCTTTTTGGGTCACACCCAGCAATGCTCAGGGGTTACTCCTGGCTCTGCACTCAGGTATTACTTCTGGCGATGCTCAAGGGACCATATGGGATGCTGGGAATCAAACCCAGGTTGGCTGCGTGCAAGGCAAATGCCCTACCCGCTGTGCTATCACTCCAGTCCCTCCCAAGGAATTTTTAATGTAGCGAGGGGCAAAGACCCCTTAGAGCTTCTTTTGTGAGAGAGTCAGCTCTGGAGATGCCCCAAGGCCGCAGAGTGGCCCTGATCCGGGGTCACAGGCCCAGCTCCCCATCCTGGGCCCCTCTGGAGCTGGGGTTCCTCTGTCCCCACAGCGAGTGCAGCGGGGAGATCTTGAACAACTGCTGCGTGATGGAGTACCACCAGGCCACCGGCACCCTCAGCGCCCACTTCCGCAACATGGTGAGGGAGACAGGCCGGACCCCTGGCAGGAAGGTCAGCCTGGAGCCTCATCCTCACAGTCAGCCCAGAGCTGACCACTGTGCTCTCTGACCTCCTGCCCCACAGTCACTCAAGAGGATCAAGCGTGCCGACCGGCGGGGCGCAGAGTCAGTGACGGAGGAGAAGTTCACGGTCCTGTTCGAGTCTCAGTTCAGCGTGGGCAGCAACGAGCTGGTCTTCCAGGTGAAGGTGAGGCTCCTGCTCGTCACGGCACCCTCCAGCGACTGCGGAAGGGCTGAGCAGAGGCGACCTTCCCGCTCGGGGCCCGCTGCTCCAGATGGAGGAGTCGCCCCATTTACTCCTCACCACCTGTTGGGTGCCAGACCAGTGCCAGCCACAGAAATGAAGGCTGTCGAATGAGGGGGAAAAAAAAATGCAGGATTTTTGCTGTTCAGTTTTGGCTCTAGTTCTTCTGGAAGGAGTGTGTGTGCCAGGCTGAGGAGAAGGGGGTCCATTTGAGAAAGGGGGGTGCAGGGCGAGTGTGGCCTGCTCTCAGCACTCTCTCCCTGGCCTCGCGCAGACACTGTCCCTCCCTGTGGTGGTCATTGTCCACGGCAGCCAGGACCACAACGCCACTGCCACTGTGCTGTGGGACAACGCGTTTGCCGAGCCCGTGAGTCCCGGGGCCCCTGTGCTCTGCTGAAGAGCCCACTTGGGGGACAGTCTGTGAGCCAGCGCACGGGGTGGGGGGGCCGATCCCTGTGGACAGTGCCAGCTCCCTGCATGTTGTCCCCGCCCGCCTCCTGGTGGCTTTTTTTCTGGATCTTTCTCAGACCTCGGCGACACTGTGTACCTGCATGGCGGGTCTGACTGGCTCCTGCTCTACCTCTGTGCCCCCACCTCAGCCTGTCTCTTCCCTCTCAGGGCAGGGTGCCCTTCGCCGTGCCCGACAAGGTGCTGTGGCCGCAGCTCTGCGAGGCGCTCAACATGAAGTTCAAGGCCGAGGTACAGAGCAACCGGGGCCTGACCAGCGAGAACCTGGTGTTCCTGGCGCAGAAACTCTTCAACAGCAGCAGCGGCCACCTGGAGGACTACAGCGGCATGTCCGTGTCCTGGTCCCAGTTCAACAGGGTGAGGGGGTGACCCAGTCAGGGCCCAGCTCAGACTGTGAGTGTGTGTGTGTGTGTGTGTGTGTGTGTGTGTGTGTGTGTGTAGGGAGGCTGGGGGGTACCCCAGGGAGTAGAGGCAGTAGCTGTCACAGTGGGTGAGTCCTTTGGAAGAGACTGCACTGGGGATTGGGGTCCTTGGTCTGTTCAGGATCTGGGGCCTCCCTTGGCTCCTTCCTTCTCTGCCCACTTTGTCCCCAGTCAAATGACGGGGTTGAGCAGGTGTGACTTGGGAGATCCTTGTCTGGCCTGGGCAGTTTCACCCAGTGTGGGGAGGGCCTAGGGATGGGTGAAGGGTGCTCCAGAGCTGCCAGGGTGCAGGGGACAGACTGGGGAAGGTCTGCGTAGGACCAGAGCTGTCCTGTCCCTGCCCTGGCCGCCCCCGTTACTCAGACTCTTTGGGGCTCATAGGAAAACCTGCCGGGCTGGAACTACACCTTCTGGCAGTGGTTCGACGGGGTCATGGAGGTGCTAAAGAAGCACCACAAGCCCCATTGGAACGACGGGTGAGGACCGGGTGCCTGGGGCGGGCTGGACGTCCGCTCAGCGGTGGCGCTGCTGGTGACACAATGTGGGCCTCGGTACCGTCCAGGGCCATCCTCGGCTTCGTGAACAAGCAGCAGGCCCACGACCTGCTCATCAACAAGCCTGATGGCACCTTCCTGCTGCGCTTCAGCGACTCGGAGATCGGCGGCATCACCATCGCCTGGAAGTTCGACTCCCGTGAGTGCCCCTCACATCACACCAGTCCCGAGTTCCCGTCTCTGAGTCCCGGGTGTGCCTGCTCTGTCCATCCTGTCCCCCACCCCTACTCTGTCCTCTGGATCCCTGACCCCACAATCCATCAGCCCGATTCTTGGGGGAAAAGTCAGGCTCTGGGCTGAGAATTGGGAAGGCAGGACCCAGAGACCCGCTGGCTCTTCCTCCTCTGCCCGGCCCCCTGCCCCTGCTTGCTGCTTTGCTGGGCGGAGGGTCTGCGTGTGACCTTGTCCGGTCATAGTCGGGGGCCACTGGTGCCACACAGACTCAGGGACGCAGGGGGCCTCTGCGAGCCTGCCCTGGGGCCTGTCCTGTTCACAGCTGACCGCAACCTGTGGAACCTGAAGCCATTTACCACGCGGGACTTCTCCATTCGTTCCCTGGCAGACCGGCTGGGGGACCTGAACTATCTCATCTACGTGTTTCCCGACCGGCCCAAGGATGAGGTTTTCTCCAAGTACTACACACCAGAGCTTGGTGGTTGGTCTCTGCATCCTGGGATGCTGTGCACGGTTGCGGGTGTGGGGGGATGGGGGGTGCGGCCGTGGGGACTCAGGCCCAGGACTAGTTCTCCACTAGGGGAGGGACACCCAGCATGTGCACTGAAAACATTTTAGGGCCGGAGCGATAGTCCAGCACGTAGAGGCTTTGCCTTGCATGCAGCAGATCCGGGTTCAATCCCTGGCACCACATGTGGTTCACCCAGCCCACCAGGAGTGATTGCTGAGTGCAGAGCCAGCAGTAAGCCCCGAGCACTGCTGGGAGTGACCCCAAAACAAATACAGAAAATAATAGCATTTCAGGGCTCAGGATTGAATGAGGGAGTGTGTGACTTCTGACCCAACTCCCTTGTTGGCGGAGCAAAAAACCCTACTGTGGGGGCAGCCGGGGCACCTCCAGGCTGTCTTGCAAGGGACAGTGGCCCTTGGTTTGGTCCCCGGGGCAGATTCTGTTGCCTGGCAGGACTGGGCCAGGAGAGCAAGCAGGAGGGACAGATGGAAGGTAGAGACCGGGATCCCCCCATCCCCACTGGCTCCTTTTGTGGGGGCTTCCTGGGGGGGTCTTTGTGTCATCTCGTCCCCCAGAAGCCCTGGGGACATTGCGGAGGGGGTGGCTGCATGGGTGAGCTATGTCTCCAGGGTGCCCACCACCTGCCCCTTCTCCCCGCAGCCAAAGCCGTGGACGGATATGTGAAGCCGCAGATCAAGCAGGTGGTCCCTGAGTAAGTGACCTGGGCTGGGCTCCGCTCCCCTCCCCGCCCCCACCCAGCCTGCCTCAGCCTGGGGAGGGGCTGGATGGTGGCCCTGCTCCTGCAGCCAGGGGATGCTGTCCTCCCCGACGGGCCTCATGTGCCTGGCCGCTCCCCGAGGCACCTATGTTTCCTCCAGGTTCGTGAGCGTGTCTGGAGACTCTGCGGCGGGCAGCGCCACCTACATGGACCAGGCCCCCTCCCCCGTCGTGTGCCCCCAGACCCACTATAACATGTACCCGCAGAAGTAGGTTGTGTTCGCGGGCGCGGTGGGCAGGATGGGGCGTTGGCAGGCGAGGGCAGGCAGGGTGCTGGCACAGTCTGGGCTCCATCTGCTGTGACCGGCCGTGCCGCCCGTGAACCTCTACCACGGGCGTGTGTGCGTGGCGGGAAAAGGCCTTTCGTGCACACTGGGTGTTCCCAAGGGCTTCAGCAGGGGCTGCTGCCAGGGTGCTGCTCACGGAGCTCCCGGGGGCATCTCTCTTCCAAGCTGGGGTGGAGGTCTGGGGCCTGGCTGCAGGGGGTGACCACAGGTGTAGGGGTCACAGATCACTCTGGCAATTCCCTTCCCATACTGTGCCTCAGTTTCCTCCTCTGGAAGGAGTTGGATCCCCCTGCTCCTTTGGGAAGGTGGTGTAAAGGCCCAGTCTGGGCCAGGGCTCCAATCAGCCCCAGGACGTTGAGGGACAGGGTCACAGGCCCAGCCAGCTGGTCCTCCCACTGAAGACAGGGAGAGGGGCCCTGAGCCCCGACACCATCCAGCGAGGGGAGAGATGAGACCAGCATGGCCAGTAACTGACTTTGTCAATTCAGGGCTGTGGTTCAGGGCGGGGAGTTGGGGGGCGTGCAGGGGGCAGGGCGGGGCTCAAGGCACAGCTCCCCTCTCCCTTCCAGTGCTGACCCCGTCCTGGACCAGGAAGGAGACTTCGACCTGGACGAGACCATGGACGTGGCGCGGCATGTGGAGGAGCTTCTACGGCGCCCCGTGGACGGGCTGCACCCGCGCCTCTCCCCGCCCGCCGGCCTCTTCAGCAATGCCAGGGGCTCACTCTCCTGAGCGTCCCCGTCCCTCCCTCCCCAGAGACAGTGCTCAATGTGACGGGACACTGTGCTGTGACTGGAGTGTTGCTGTGAGTCGCAATACCTTCTGCGGTAGCGTGAATGCGCGCGTGCGTGTGTGTGCGGGTGCCGGGGCGGGGGGGACCTTGCACAGTCCCCAGGAGGGGAGGCAGCAGCCCCCTGGGCGGTAGAGATGGAGCTGAGCCAGGGCCTTCCATGACTGTCTGCTCAGCAGCTGTTTGTTTGCGTGAAATTCTGTTTGCTTATTCTGGGGGCCGTTCCCTGCAGGTACTTGGAGGAACCATGACATGTGCAGGGGGTGACTTTGAATTTGAGGTTCCCTTCGAGTGGCCTCCCCAGCTCCGAGTGCCCGGCTAGTGACATTTCTTGAGGAAGCGGGCTGGGCCCTGTGACATGGCCGCAGTTTCTAGAAGCTTTGCCTCTCAAGGTGTGTGTGTGTGTGTGTGTGTGTGTGTGTGTGTGTGTGTGTCCCGGCTAGGCACATCTTGATCTGTTGGTTCTTTCCCTTGGAAGGAGGCTGGGCTTCAGTTTCAACCCATGTTGGATACTTTCATGGTTGTGGACTCCAGGCTTTTTGTGAACAGGAGGAGCTAGTGGCAGACACAAGACACAGGCCCAGGGGGTCTCCATTTTTTGGGCTCCAGCAAGGAGCCTTGAAGTCTGTGCTGCAGCCCCCATCCTCCCCTCCCCTCCCACCTTCTTTCCTGGCTTTTCTCTCTGCGCCTGTGTACAGGAGGGTGGTGAAGCGCTAGGGCAGATCCCCCTCCTGGAGAAGAGGAAACTGCAGGGAGAGAAGCCGTGCTTGCTGCCTGCCATGGGAGCTGGAGCCCGGAGCTGGCGCTGGAGTTATGTAACGGGTTGGGGTATAGGGCCTGGCTCCCCCTCCCCCCAGCTCCCGCTTTTGTACCTTGTACACAGGCCACATGCTTGTGTCAACAGTGTCTTTGAATAAAATATTTTGTTCATAAGCTTGCTGCTTGCTGGTATGACCCCTGGTTGGGGAAGCTGGCAGTGGTCTTCGTGAGTGGCACCCCCCCTGCTTCTCCCCCGACCCCCCCTCCCACTACTGGGGTCATTTTCTTTCCTTCTGCAGGGCAGAGGGTGTGAGGGGCAGCCTGACACAGCTGCTTGCTCTCTGCTCTGCCTCGCCTGTCCAGGAATGCTAGCAGCCCTCAGCAGGTCAGAGGGCTCGAGAAATGGTGATTACAGGGGTGAGGGTGGGGGGGAGTAGAGGACATAGCAACCGTGGTCCCATGGCTCCTCGGAGCTGGCCGCCAAGCCGGAAACAGTGGTCCACAATGGTCCCAGGGTCCTCAGTGTCTGAGCTGGGCATGTGGGAGCCTCCCGCAGGCACCAGCAGTGGGTACCTGCCCCTACACTGAGCCTCCTCCTGGCAGGGCGACTGGGCCTGGCGCTGCCCCTTTGTACCCAGCTGTCTGGGGGGAGGGGCGCCCTGCGGGGAGGGCGGGGTGGATGGTGGGAAGCCACAGGGCGCACAGCAAGGGAAGCGGGGCTGGCGGGGGGCGCAGGAGGAGGGAAGGCGCCCACACTAATCTGCCATCTCGCATCCGTCTGCCGCTGTCTCCATGGTGGCAAGTGGGCGCTGCTGTCTGAATTATCACCCCCTGCTGCCAGGGCCCAGGCAGCAGCCAAGTGTTTATGTCCATCAGCACAGCACTGAGCGAACCTCAGAGAAAGTGATAATGGAGCTAGAGGGGCAGCCTTGGGGGCTGCTGAGTATCTATGCCCCAGCCCCCCAGGGAGCTTATCACCCCAGACAGGAGCCACAGCGGGGGCGAGGGGGAGGAGGTGGAGGCTGTGGCTCAGTCAGACGGATGGGGGAGGGGGCAACCCAGGGGCCCAGGCGGGAGTAGCCCCCCCACTCCCCCTCGGGCCCTGAAAACCCAGGCTAGGGAAAAAACACCCCATCCCCCAGCAAGAAAGCTGCCAGACCAGCAGAGGGTCACTAGAGAACTTTTATTTCTGAAAATTAAAGTACATACAGCAATATACAAAACAAAACCTTGCAATAATATAAATTTTTACACTATGAAGTATACATTGGAATTTGAATGCGGTGGCCAGGCCAGCGGCGTTCAAACCATCGTGCGGACAGGTTGTGGGCTCCATGGAATCTCAGCTGGGCTGGGGGTCCTGGAGGGCTGTCATTTAAAGCAATGGAGGGGGGCCCACATGAGTCTCAGCTGCTCTCAGAACTTTTGCTTCCGCCGGCGTTCACACCAGATCCACCTGCTGCCCAGAAGCCTGGAACTTTCCTCGGTTCCAAGACTGGAAGTCCACAGAGCTCCCCACAGAAGCCCAGAGCCCATGCCCCTGGGAGATGGGCTGGGGAGTAGGGAGTGATGGCCCCTCCACATTCCCGGGGTGCCGGGAACCAACCATCCTATCTTGAAGAGGTGAGGCCCCGATTCGGACACTGGCTAATGCGGGAGTGAGGACTGGCTTTCTGAGGGACTCCAGTGCCCCCAGCAGGCTGCTTGGGACCCCCGAGTCCCCTTGCCTCACCTCTGCAGGGGCCCAGGGCCCGCTGCTCTGTTCTGAAGTGAGAGGCCAGTGGGAGCCTCTGCCTCATCTTGGCCCCCGTATGGGGTGGCCAGGCGGGGTGCGCATCCCCTCCCTTGGGCGAACCTCCACTCTGCAGCCGGCCACGTCGGGGGGTGCCATGGGAAACCGCCTGGAAACTGGGTGAAGAACCTTATTCCCTGAGCTTCGACTCGGCTGGGCGCCCCCAGTCTGCACTCTGTCTCCCCCCTCCCCAATGCTTCCTCTTTGATCCCAGGAATCTGGCCTCAGGATTCCTAAGGCCAGCGGGACAGAGGGAGACATGCCAGAGGGGGTGGAGCGCAGAGGCAGCAGGGTTGGGGAGGAAGGAAGGAAGGAAGGAGCACCCCATCCCGTATAAGGCACCCACAGAAACAGAAGCGCGGGGTGAGGGAGAAAGGAGGCCAGGTGCAGGGGCCCCCGCTGCCCAGCTAATGAGCCAACAACATTCAAGGGGAAAATAACTTTGCTTGTGAAAATGAGCCCAGCAATGTGCAGTCTCTCCCTCACCCCTCCTCAGTGGACACCACAGGCACCCCCACCCCCATCCCTGGGCGGGGGGACTTTAGAGGATAGATCTGAACCCATCTGGGAGTTCATATAAATTATTAGCCTGAAAGAAGCTTCAAGTCTCAAGCATCAGAGACTGCTGGCTGAGTCACTGCAAATACATAAAAGGTTTGGCCAAACTTGGTGTTTTTTTGTTTTTGTTTTTTGTTTGTTTTTGCCTCCCCACCCCTCTTGTTTGTGAATTTACAGAGACATCTAGGGACTTTGAAAGTTGTGTCTCCTAGCTGGACACAAGCTGGGTTGAAAGTGCAATGCCAGGAGGACTTCTTGTTGGACCTGGGGCTTCAGCCTACAGATCTGGGCGGAGGGGCACCCTGGCCCTGAGGCACTTGTCTCAAACAAGGAAAGTGGCTGAGAGGAGGGGGTGGGGGCGGGAGACAGTTCCTTTTCCTCCCTCTCGCCTCGTTCCACCTCCTGTGATCTATTCCGGAGTCCACATTCTTGGTTGCATTTACAGAAAAAGCCTATCACCCACATTCACTCGTTTCTCTATTAACAAAGTGCCCAGATGGTTCAAAGATAGCAGAAGTAGGAGATTTAAAAAAAAAAATCTGGACCCACCCCCCCACCCCCCTAGTAAGGAGTCACCGACGATCTGGGGTCTGGCTGGCAAGGGGTGGGTGGGATACGGGGTGTCTCCATTGCTCTCTGTAGCATCCAGCCTTGCTCCTCACATGGGAGAGGTCGCGCACTCCGAGGTCAGTTCCATGTCAAAGGTGAGGGACTCTGGGGGACAGACAGGGACAGCTGCTTCAGTCGTCTGAGCCCTGCAGCAGGCAGGACCTGCACCCTTGACCTCCAGCAGAGACAGGCCCAGGCCACTGCAGCCATCCAGCCAAGGCTGGGTAGACAGAGCAGACCTCCCCTCTCCCCCACCCTGCCCCCAGGCTCTTACCTCGGGGAGGGCGCAGGCTCCCTGCCTCACTTGTCCCCCACTCTCCGCACTTAAGAGAGGCCTAAGGCTGCCCACCCCATGAAGGCAGCAGCCACCAATACCCGCGAGCTCTTGAAACCAACGTGGACCGTCCACCAGGAGACAGTGCACCACTTGGCAGAGAAGAGCCAGGAGACAGCTCCATGGGCTGGAGCCGGGCTTTGCATGCAGGGGCCCCCAGGTTCCATCCCGGGCACTGTAGGGTCCCTCCAGCACCGCCAGGTGTGGCCCCAAAAGAAACAAAATCAAATAAAAAATACATTTGGTGGATTTTAAAGATTTGGAATCCACCCCAATCCGACCTTACTCATGTTCTTGCCTGTTTAGAGCTCATGCACTGGATTTGTTGGGGTAGGAAAAGACAGGTGATGAAAGTGAACTTCGAGTGGGGGGAGTCCAATCTCCATGGCTGTGCTGATTGTAAGGCGGCTGCCAGCCAACGCACACTTACGGATGAACGCCAGGGAATGTTCTAGAACCTCTTCCTCCCAATCCATGCGACCAGCTCTGCGCGCTCTGCCTGACCTCCCTGACAGAGACCACGGCTGCTCCCCCCCAAATACTCACCGAACTGCCCTCCTGCTGAGGGTTCAGCACCTTCCCCATTACTTCCAAACTGCATCAATGAATCTAAAGTGCGGGGGGACATCGGCAGGTCAATGGTATTACTGCAGGTCGTTCTGTAGGAAAGGGGGCGCCGGAGGGGAGAGGGGCAGGGTTGACAAGACACAATGGAGGAAAAAAAAAAAAAGAAAGAAAGAACAAAACACACACACACAAGCCATCAAACTCTGGTCTCCAACAGAAAAATAAAGGCTCGAGCTTCTTAAACACACAAGGTCACCGAGTGCTACACAGAGCCTGGGGTCCCCCACCCTCGAAGGCACCGGCTCCCCCCGGGCGGGCAGGCAGGTGAGCAGGCGCCATCCCGGGGCTCCCTGAGCATCTCAGAAATAAAAGTGAACAAAGGGGTAAGGGAAGCCACTTACGGTGTCACGCAGATAAACTTGGTCTTCAGGTAGGGGGCAGCACCTGGGAAGAAAACTGGGGGTCAGTGATGGGCGGGGGAGGGAATGGGGCAGGAGGAAGATTGCAGCCTCACCCCTCCAGCTTGGAGGAGGGAACTGTCCCTGCATGGCCACCCTTGTTGAGACGACTGGGGGCTCGCAGTATGGACCTTCAGTCCTTTCCATGGAGCTGGCCTGACCCTCGGGCACCCATTCGTAGGCCCTGGTCCCATGCGCAGCTAGGCCACTGCCACTCATAGCCCTAATGTGGCATGAAGAATGTGTGCTGGCCGGGGCCATATCTCTTAGATAACTCCTGGCCAGCGGGAACAGAGGCTGTGCCGCCTGGACAGTTGTCCTCTCAGCTGCCAATGTCACCGTGTCTTTAGGGGCCTGTGGTCCCAGAGCTGGGGGGATACAGACAGCACTCAGCTGCCCGAGGGTGCTGCCGCGGGCCTCTGGATAACTGCACACAACAGGAGACCCAGGACAGTGCTGCGGCAGGGCTGACAGCTCTGGGCTGCAGACAGGTGGCCTGGACTTCCCTCTGTTTCAGCAGCTAAGGGAGCCAGCCAGGGCCAGGCATCTGACTCAAGAACAAGATGGGGGACGGGGCGGTGCCCACTTTGAGGGTCTTGGGCATTCAGAATTCTTGTCCAATAGAAAAGGAAGGAGGGAAGCAGGGGCCTGCAGGGGCTTAAACCCTGTTTCCAGAGCCTCAGAGATTCAGTGAAAAAAAATCACTCAGGTGGGGTGGGTGGCCCAAGAGACACACAATTTGGGCTGGAGCAATAGCACACCAGGTAGGGCATTTGCCTTGCATGTGGTCAACCCGGGTTCAATTCCCAGTATCCCATATGGTCCCCCAAGCAACACCAGGAGTAATTCCTGACTGCATGTGCCAGGAATAACCCCTGTGCATCACTGGGCGTGACCCAGGAATAAAAAAAAAAAGAGAGAGAGACACACACACACACAGTTGTACAACTCGAGGCTTTGGAGAAAGTCTGACAGCAATTCGTTCTCCCAGCGAAGGGCCCTGCACTACCAATAGAACTTCTGTGCTGGAGAATGTCCTAAGGCCAGTCTGACAGCTCAATGGGCTGAGCCTGGTTTTGTCTGCAGGAGGCCTGGGTTACACCCCTGGTATCACATGGTCAAAAATGAATGAAAAAATTTATTTTTTCCCCAATTTAATTACTTATTTTCTAAAAAGTTAAAAAAATGAATGTATGCAGTCCTCAGTTGAGTACTCAATGCTAATAAGAGTCATCAAAAATGTGTTTGAATAATACAAAAAGTTCATGTGCTCAAATTGAAAACATGTGCTACAAACAATAATGACAACAAAACAAAAAACAACAACAAAAACCATTCAGACACCTAACATTCACACTATACCAGAATTCTGCCTGTAACAAACAGTGAATTTTGTCCCCTAAAAATAGCATATGGGATAAAAACTTCATTTAAACCCAACGAGTGAAGATGCATGATTTTGTGCTGAACGGACAGATGTTCAGTCTATTCACCACCGCAGCTGCGGCCAAAAAATAAATAAATAAAATTCTCATTCATAGAACTCTAATCCTGAGTGTCAGATCCAAAGAGATCAGGTAGCTTAGGAACCTCACCTTTGGGGCACAACCGGAGATGGACATAAATCCTGAATAAACAAGAGAGCAGCAGAAGCAAAGGGGAGCAGAGACAAGGCCCCAGTGTGGGGCGGTGAACATGAGGTTCCAACACGAAGGCGCGGGGCAAGTCATCTACCTCAGAGAGAGGATCTCTCCCTCAAGGCCTGAGGAGAGCTGTGTGGGTTTCCAGGGTGAAGAAAGGAGAGGGGAGCTGTCCTGGGGAGGTATCTGGCATCCTGAAAACTCTTGAGGGTGGCCACATGCATACACATGCTCCCACACATGTACATTTCCCCATACACGTGTGAACACATGCACATGCACACACACACACACTCCACACACCCTACATCCGGACTCTCTCCACGTGTTTATCCCGGGGGGCTCCCTTGGGAACACTCCTGGCACCCGCCCCAGGAAGGCAGCCGAAGTCCCAAGTTATCAGCTCTGTGTCCCCCTCAACATCCTGACCCAGAAGGAAAACCAAGTCTCTGTGGGAAGGGACCTGGTCTCCGAGCCCTTCTGGAGGAGGCGATGGGAACAGAGGGCACAGCCTCAGGCTGGGAACTTGGATCTCGAAAGCAAAACTGAGTCCAAGGACCAGCACTTGGGCCTCAACGTCCTCCGCAAAGGGAACCAAGGGAGCATGGGGCGGCCGATAAACCCATCTCCTAACTGAAGCCCTGCGTGGAGGGTGAGATAAGCAGCAGACAGGAAATGAGAGTTCGACTTGTCAACGAAGCAGCAGAGTGCAGTAGGAGAACAAAGGAGTGTGGATCGCAGAGGCGCTCTGATTCCCTCCTCCCAGGCCCATTCTTGCAACCTCAAGAAATTCCGAAGGGAACTCTGAGGAGAAGGTGGAAGGGAAGCCAGTGGGCAAGTGTGTGAGAACTATTAGTCTTAGGGCAGAATTTCATTTTTGGGGGGTCATACCTGGAGATGCACAAGGGTTACTCCTGGCTTTGCACTCAGGAATTACTCCTGGCAGTGCTCAGGGGGACCATATGGGATGCTGGGAATCGAACCTGGTCAGCCGCATGCAAGGCAAATGCCCTACCCGCTGTACTATCGCTCCAGTCCCTCAGGGCAGAATTTCAAGAAGCCACCAGGACAGGCAGAGGCCCTGCCCTCAGAGGAGCCTACCCGAGAGCCCACGGATGGCTCAATGGCTCAGCCCCAGGCATACTTCTCCTGCAGGAGGCCCAGATTCGATCCCAGGCAGGCACCACCTGGCCCCGAGTCCCACTGGGAGCAAGAGAACCAAGCTGGGAGTAGTACCTCCAAGCACCCGAAACAAAGCATTAAACTAAAAATAAAAAAAAAAACCTTTAAAAATGAAATCAAAACAGAACAAAGCAGAGATCCTGGTCCTGTGCGCACTGCAGTGCAGTGGCGGCAGAGCTGGAGAGCACAGGTTGGGCGGAAAACCGTTTCCACACAATGGGCACACTCGTTCCTGCATATTACAAGTCACCTCTCCTACAGACCTGAGAGTGCCACGATGGGGAGACAGGGGGCACAGGGGTGGGGCGCCGAGAGAATGGTGGACGAAAACGGACACTGGTGGAGTGTGGTGTTGGAACATTGTCCATATGAAACCCCATCATGGACAGCATGGTAAATCATGGTGAGGAAAAAAAAATTTTTTTTTCAGAATAGTAAGACATCCTTCAGGGGACTGCACATTCTGAGCACCTGTTCATGGCCCTCCCACCAGTCACCCAACCCCCCCCCCCACCTCATCCTCTTGTCATTCAGGGCTCTGACGCAGGCCCCAGCGCTGCCCACACTCACTTCCTCCAGGGAGCCTTTCTTCTTCCCACTCGCTACTGTTTCCACTGCTCAGGGAGGGGGAAAGGAAACGGGCCAGACTGCAGTGTCAGGGACCAATAGGAGTGGGGCTGCGCTGGCTGGGCCTCTGGGGACCTTGGGGCTCTGGCCTCACTCTCAGATGTGTGGGTGCTGAACCCTACCCCCATGTGCTGCCTGCGGGGTGGGGACTATGGCTCGGTGCTGGCCTCAAAGCACTGGTTGAGACAGGCATGAGCTCCAGGTCACGTGGGCACAGACCCATGTGTCTCCCCGTCACCTCCCACCTCTCCCCCAAATCTGATGCCTGACGTGGAAAATCAACAACTACCTGGGTCGGCCTCGGGGTGCTCCTGGCTCTCTGGGCGACAATACTTCCCGAACGCTTCTTCCTTGGGAATGTCAGGGTAGAGGTAGACCAGCGGGGACACGAGGATGTTGGTGGCATCCATGATCTTATAGCCCATAATGATCTCGGCGAAGGACATGTTGTTCAGTTGCTGCTTGGTGTAGGGCTCCACCGACTGGATCTGCGTCTTACCTGCCAGGAGGGCGATGTGGGAAGGGATGGTCGGGGAACTGAATGGGAACCAAGCGCACAGGGACTGGGAGAGAAATCAACCCAAATCTCCTTCCCAGCAGAGGATAAGACTTGGTGGGTGAGAGTCTGGATTTCCCACCCGCGCCTGGCACTGCAAATGCTATCCACCTCAGGAAAGGCTGGTTGGGAGAGTGGTGCGTGGATAACTACCTGCCTATTCAGAGTAGGAGAAGATGAGGAACCCAATCCCGACAGCCAGGACTTAGTCTCCCAACCCCACCTAGAGTTTTGGAACAGCCAACTCCTCTCCCACCAGGGGGCAGTAGATGCTTGAAACCGGCAGTCATGGCTACCAGGTGGGGTCAGGGAGAGCCGCTTACCACTGATGTCCTTCTCCACCCAGGTGAACGTGACTCCTCCTTCTTTGCTGCTTTCACTGAACCTGAGCAGGAAGGTGCCCGGGGGCTTGGTGCTCAGGATGGCGCGCTCTCGCTCCTTACTGATGAAGCCCATGATGTACCTGCAAAGAGGAGTAATGACTAGGCTGGAACTCAGAGGGGCCCTGCCAAGGGCCCACAGAGAGAACAAGCTGCTGGTTAGACCTGGTGATTCCATCAGACTTGAGTGCCAACCTACCCTTCGTTCCAAAGAGCCAAGATGTATTTTTTCACAAGGTCAATGATGTTGTCTAGCCAGACCCAGAAGGAGAAGCCCTTGCCAGCCATGTTTTCCTGGAGAAAAGATGAAACATGGTTTGTGGCCATCCCAGTCACCCCCCACAAACTCCCCAAATCCTCAGGCAATGGGGGCCCTGGGAACACCCCAATCCTCAGGCCCAGCTACCCTCGGGGGGTCCTGCAGGCCACTGGACCCAGAAAGTCTGAACACCCCAACCCATTCTTGAAGGGACCTAACACATGACTTACTTTACAAAACTTGGCCCACGTGATCTGACACCCTGAGTAGTTCACACCAGGCCCTGTGGGAAACCAAGAACAAAGTGATGTGACTTGAAGCTACATCTTTCCTGGCACTTGGCACAACCACATCTGTCCCACGAGGGGCCAAGAATCCCCTGGTTTTCACATATTTGAAGGTCACCGCCCACCCCACCCAGGGGTGCTCACCCACAAAGCCCCAGCCTGTGTCCACACTACCTGCCCCCAGCTGCTGAGCCCAGCAGATGAGGTGGGTGGTTAGAGGGCAGCAGGGGTGCCCAGCTCTCACCATGTGCAGTGGCCCCTGGGCAATAGCACACAGATGCTGAGACCTGGTGCCGGAGGAGAACACTGAGTGGTGATGCCAGACAAGATGCTGGGAGTTCAGGGAGTGCATGAAGTCATCTACCAAAACCATTTTCTCAGATAAAAAATGAAAAGTCAGCCTATAGTATGCTGATGAAGTGGACAGTGGTGCCAAGCCACTGGTGCTGTCCTCGAATACCTGGGAAATGCCTTTTCAAGGTGAAAGCCATGTACTGGAGGCAGAGGGGACCACTACTGAGAGACAAGGGCTCTCTCTCATCCCATAAAATGAACCCCAGTGAGCTAGAGAGGTAGTAGAGTGGGTAAGGCACTTGCTCTGAGCTCAGCAGATCCGGGTTTGATCCCTGGCACCCAAATGGTCCTCCAAGCACAAGAGCCAGGAGAAACCCCTGAGCATCACCAGTGTGGTAACCCCTCAAGAAAGATCCCCTGGCTTGGGAAACTCTCCCGGACAAAGAGCCTGAGTTGCTTTTCTGAGGAGGGCATGAGAGAGGGCACGAGAAACACTGACCTAAGAGCTTCTCCGCCAGTGTGGTCAGCTGCTCGATGCTCAGCCCTCGCTTGGTGGTGGAGGAGAACTGCCAGCTCAGCACCTCAGCCACCTGATCCCACGTCCCAATGGGAGGCTTGGTGAAGAAGTTCACGTTCTGGTGGCAAGAACAGACCAGAGGGCAGCACTAGGGGGCGCACAAGCTCCAGGCACGGGGAAGCAGGCTTCCTGGCTGGGGCACTCACCTTGGGGTTGTTGGTCAGCATATTGTACCACAGGATGGATGCCCAGGCATTTGGCATCTGACAGATGTTGGAGATCACCACAACGGGCAGGGAGTGGGTCTGTGGAGAAAGGGAGGCATAAGCCGGGGAAATGGAGGGCCCCCAGAGATCTGACTATCTTTTGTCTGACTTATTGGGGCAGGGTGGTTTGGGCCACACCTGGGGTGCTCAGGGATCAACTCTAGCTCTGTGCTCAGGGGAGCCTGTGGGGTGTTGGGGTTCCAACCTGAGTTGGCAAAATGCAAAGCAAGTGCCCTACCCGCTGTGCAGTGGCTCCTGCCTACCTCCCAACAATTTCATCACCCTGACTCACAGGGCTTGAAACAAGAAGCTGTGCCATATCCCACACCTTTGCCCAGCCTGAAGAGCCAGCAGCTGCAGTCAGCCCAACTAGATACTCACAAAATGTGACTTGCCAAAAGCCGGACCCATGTTCCTAACAGAGCCCCTATTTATAAAGCCTAAAGCCACTCTCCAGGAATGGGAATTGTATCTGTCCACTAAACAGTCGTCCCAGAAATCAAGGACTGGGGTTCTTACCTCTTCAAAGTGTGTGTGTGTGTGTGTGTGTGTGAGAGAGAGAGAGAGAGAGAGAGAGAGAGAGAGAGAGAGAGAGAGAGAGAGAGAGAGAATGCATGCACGTGTGCACTTGTGTGTACTTGTGTTTCTGTGGCAGTTGTCGGGGACTGAACCCAGGGTCTTATGCATAGTGACACATTTTTAATTTAAAGCTCAGTGGGGGCGCTGGAGCGATACCACAGAGGGTAGGGCATTTGCCTTGCACACGGTCGACCCGGGTTCGATTCTCAGCATCTCATATGGTCCCCCGAGCACCACCAGGAGTAATTCCTGAGTGCATGAGCCAGGAGTAACCCCTGTGCAATGCCAGGTGTGACCCAAAAAGCAAAAAATAAATAAGTAAATAAAGCTCAGTGGGGCACAGCCAGAGAGAGATAGCACAGTGGGCAGGACACTTGCCTTGCCTATAGCCAAACCAGATTTGGTCCCTGGCACCACCAGGAGTGCTTTCCCTGGTACTGCCAGGAGTGAGTCCTCAGGAATAAGCTCTGAACACTACCAGCTATGGCTAGAAAACAACAACCAAAAGCTCAATGGTGGCAAAAAAGAATAGCTCAATGGTGCTGTAGAGATAAGTAAGCCAACCGTGGTTGGATTCCCAATTCTGGTTTGATTCCCAACATGGCATATGGGCCACCAGTGCTGCCAGGCGTGACACAGCCCTTGAGAAACTGCCCAAAACTAAAAATAACAATAGTGATAAACAATATAAAGCTTAACTGAGTTGGTTTAAAAAATGTCAATATTTTCTGTTTATTAAAACCACTGGCTGCTGGGGTTGGGCGGAGGGCAGGTAGAGATATCTCAAAGGGTTGGTGGCTGGCTTGGCATGCTGGAGGCCCAGGTGAGGCTCCTGGCACCACGTGGTCCCCAAAGCACATCAGGAGTGCCCCTGGAGCAGCCAGCCAGAAGTAGGCCCTGAGCACAACTGGATGTGGTCCCAAAATAAGACCACAAAATACCACTTTGCTCAAACTTTATCAAATTTTTGGAAAGCTGAGTGTACATATGAACACATATATATGCATATATAAAGACTATGTGTGTGTGAGTGTATATATGTGTGTGTATATGTATATATATGTATACACACACACCACAATTAAGACTTTATTCTCAGGTGGTCATGTGGGAGTGAGCATTTGGGGGGGGGAAAGTCAACAAGAAGAAACTGTTTAAGGGCTGGAGCAATAGCACAGAGGGTAGGGCGTTTGCCTTGCACACGGTTGACCCGGGTTCGATTCTCAGCATCCCATATGGTCTCTCTGACCACTGCCAGGAGTAATTTCTGAGTGCATGAGCCAGGAGTAACCCCTGAGCATTGCAGGGTGTGACCCCCCCCCAAAAAAAAGAAGAAGAAGAAACTGTTCAGTCAAGTCACCACCCCATCTGGAGGAAGATCCCCCAACTGGAATCTGTAGTCGTGAACTGCCCCTACCCACGGTCTGTCCCAACCCTGCCCGAAGACTCACCTCGAGGTCAATCTTGAGACCCTGGTGATACACCTCAGTCTCGAAGGTGATCAGATGTAGCTCCTCGGTGACAATCAGAGAGGCCTAAGGAGAGAGGGGGCACAATGCACTAAAGCCAGACTGCAGTGGCAGGTGGCCACTCCCCGCAGACCAACACCAGGTAGGAGCTCTGGGGGCTGGAGCGCACACCTGGCATATCTGTAGCCCTAAGTTCGATTCCAGGTACCACACGGCCTCCAGAGCATGGCCAGGTGGTCCCCAGTTCTGCTAGGCCTGGCAGCAGCGCCCTGCTGGCCACGGATTATCGGAAGTAACCTCTAGATTTCCTGAACATTATCTGGGGGGACTCCCCGCCCCACAAAGAAGACCCTCCCAGTCTCAGGAGAAGACTCAACGTCACTGCATTCCTTCCCCGTCCCTCTTTCCTTCCACCTCGCTATTTGTCTTTCAGGCTTCTCATTCCTTAGCTTCTCTCCAGAGTTTACCATGTATACAACCTGAATGAGTGACACATTGCTGAATTTGGGAATTTGTGAGCCTTTATACATGGGAACCTATGTCCTATGCATACTTCTGTGATTCACATATCACATCCATGTGGTTGTGGGCACCTGCAATTTACTCAGTTTTACAGCTATATTTATTTGTCCAGCTCTTCCACAAATCATTCATCAATTCTAGGGAGTCTTTATTTGGGTTGTTTAGGATGACACTCAGGCCGTGGTGACATTGATATTTGTCTCCCGGGACACATGTATAAAGATCTCTATGATGCTCCCTATTGGGGGAGGGCATCGCTGGCTTATTAGGTATGTTCTTTTTTTTTTTTTCTTTTTTAATAAAGCTAAATTGTTCTCCAGAGGCCGGAACAATTTATACTGCTCTCAGCAAAACAACAACCTATTCTGAACAAAATACTGATGAATTCTCAGAAATGGAGTACAATTGGCTTGTTTGGTTGTTTGTTTAGGCCACATCCAGCTGTGCTCAGGGCTTACTCCTGGATCTGTGCTCAGGGATCACTCGTAGAGGGGCTCAGGGGACCATATTGGGTGCCAGGGTTAGAACCTGCGTCAGCTATATGCAAAGGCAAGCGCCTTACCTGCTACACCATCTCTTCAGCCCCCTCCAATTTATTTTTTAAAACATTTTAAGTATATTGGATTAAATATATTAATTTCTTTTAAAGTTTAATCCAATATACTCAAAATGTTATCACATTAACATACAATTGATAGAAAAACTATTGAGATCTTTTACATTATCTAACATAAGTCTTTTGAAATCTACTCTTTGTACTTAAAAGTACAAATCACAGGACCAGAGCAATAGTACAGCAGGTAGGGTGCTTGCCCTGCACTTAATCGACCCAGGTACCATATATCTGGCACCATATATGGTCCCCTGAGCCTGTCAGAAGAGATGCCAGGAAGAAGTCCTGAGCACTGCTGGCTATGGTAGTGTGGGATGTGGCCCGAAACAAAACCGCAAAAGAATACTTTTTTTAAAGAGAGAGTACAGGCTAGTTCAGACACTGAATTGTCAATGGATAAAGTGAGATGAGGTCCCAGGGCTAGGATGATACCTCAAAGGATAGAGCAAGCACAGACTCAACATGAGCAAGGCCCTGGTTCAATCCCCAGTCCCTCCAATTCTCTTTAAAACATTCTGTTTCTGATTACAGAAGTAAAACAATTCTGTCAAGCATGCAAATATTAATATTTGGTGTGAAGTAACCTACTAGGGGAGAAGCAGCTCAATGGGCTAGCACGGGCTTGGTATACGGGAGGCCCTGGCTTCAATTCCTGGGACTTTATGTCCTCTGAGCCCTCTAGGAGCCCTCTAGGAGCACAAAGCTGAGAGTAGCCCTTGAACATGTCCAGTGTTAGCTCCCCCCAAAATAACAAAATCAAGGGGAATGGAGCAATAGGACAGCTAGTAGGGCATTTGCTTTGCAGAGGCTGACCTGGGTTAGATCCCCAGCACCCACATGCTCCCCCAAGCCCACCAGGAATGATCCCTGAGCACAGAGGCAGGAGTAAGCTCTGAGCACCCCCCCGAAAAAACCCCCCAAATTAGGAGTCTCAGATTTTAATAGCTATATAACAACATAAGCATATTTTCTATATATTCTTCTAAAAATTTTGTTTCTTTTTTGGCCACACCCAGCAGTCCTCAGGGCTTAATCCCAGCTTGGAGCTCAAAGTTAGGATTTTTTAATGTATACATGAACTCACAAAAACAATACAGTACATTTCTTTAAACAAATTGACATTTTAATATATATAGGATGATTACACTAGAATATGTGAATAATATATTACTGAGCTAGCATATAATTGTATACTAGCAATATATATAGACTAGAAATAAACTAAAATGACTGTATTTGTTCAGAAATATACCAAAGGGGCTGGAATGATAGTACTGTGAGTTGGGTGCTTGCCTTGCCTACAGCTGGCAAGGGTTTAATCCTGGCATCCCATATGATCCCTCGAACACTGCCCAGGAGTAATTCCTGAGTGCAGAGCCTGGAGCAAGCCCCAAGTATCACTATGTGAGGCCCAATAACCAAAAACAAATAAATAAATGAAAATATACTAACTATACTGTAGTTACTCTGCATCTTACTTATTCGTTCTGTTTTTGAGTCAGACTTGGCAGTGTGCAGGGCTTTCTCCTGGCTCTGTGCTCAGGGATCACCCCTGGTGGTACTCAGGGGACCTAATGGGTGCTAGGGAATTAAAGCAGGATTCTTTGCATGAAAAGCAAGCACCCTACCTGCTGTTCTATTTCTTCAGCCCCTGCAACTCACTTTTATAAAAAAAAAGAAAAGCCACATATTTTTCCATATCTTTGTATATAGACTTTATATATAGACTTCAACTCATTAATTGTTAAGTTAAAAATTCCTGTTCTTAAAAATTTTTATATGTATACTTTTAAAGGTCTACTATATAGGAGGGCTGGAGCAATACCACAGCAGGTAGGGCGTTTGCTTTGCACACAGCCGACCTGGGTTCGATTCCCAGCATCCCACATGGTCCCCTGAGCACCGCCAGGAATAATTCCTGAGTGCAGAGCCAGGAGTAATCCCTGCGCATTGCCAGGTGTGACCCCAAAGCAAAAACAAACAAACAAAAGGTCTACCATATACCAGAGAAGCCAGAAGACTGATTCAAGAGACAGACATACAGAGAGAACAGGGGGGCCCCGGGATGTGCCGGTGGCTTTCCTCCCCAGCACAACTTACGTCACAGTTGGCTCGACCCCCGTTCCCACACCTCTGTTCTCTCAGGGTCTGGAAGGAAAGCAGAGAGCACCTAAGAGGGGGGCCGTTCCCTCTGCCGAAGCCCCTGGAGGAGGGGAGCCCAGCTGCCCCACATACCAAGTGTTTGAACTCTGCGGAGAGGCTGCCGTTGTTGGATTCTTCCATGTTCATCACTTTGGTGTTTGTGCCCAGAATGTTAAATTTCCGGGACCTGAATCATAGGGGAAAACCCAGTGCCACAGGTGACCTGAGGTCAGTGAACAGATGTGATTAAGAGAAGGCAAAGGAAGCCTCTGGGTGGCACTTACCCTCGGAGAGCGGCCACGTCCCCGGAGTCTCTGTGGAGAACACAATGCATGTTACCAAAACCCTGTGCTTCAGCCGCGCCCATTTTGACACTGGGGGATAGCTGCACTCTTGGGGTGCCTCCCATCAACATTCCTCTCCCCCATGTCTGTGCAACCCTCTCCTGAGCCATCAACACAGTGGTGGCCCACCTGACTCACAGGCTCCCCCTCGTCCCCTCCCACCCACAAATCTGCTCAGGCACCCTATCCCTATCCCCAGGTGACCAATGGTGAAGTATCCAAAGGTCATGATGCCATTGGAAAGGTATTTCATTCCATCCCACACAAAACCCTGCACAAGGGCTCCGGCTTTGCAGGAGTGCGCCTGTGGCCTAACTGCAACCAACACCCAGAGAAAAGTCACGGAGTTCCTGGCCCTTGATGACAAGTCACGAATCTCACCACCAGAACTTGATCTAACTCCACATTCCCAGTTGTCTTGGTTATCCTTTCAGCCACCCTGGGGTTTCTATAAAGGTTTACTGTCCCCTGGAACTCAACAGCTTCCCATTCAATCTCCGTGGAAGTAATCTTTCCAGTATGTTGCCTGACCTCAACAAAAAAATTTTTAGTCATAATTTCCCATTCTTTTTTTTTTCTTTTCTTTTTGGTTCATACCTGGTCATGCACAGGGGTTACTCCTGGCTTTGCACTCAGGAATCATTCCTGGCAGTGCTTAGGGGACCATATGGGATGCTGGGAATCGAACCTGGGTCGGCTGTGTGCAAGGCAAATGCCCTACCCACTGTGCTATTGCTCCAGCCCCAATTTCCCATTCTTTTAATTTTCTCTTTTTATTATTGAAACACTATTAAAAAACACACACATTAGGCACCATGATTTGTAATGTTGTTAATAACAGAGTTGCTGTCATCGAAGTTCCAACTCCACACCAACCACTAGTGTTAGCATCCTTCCACCAATGTTCCTATTAAATAATTGGTAATCTGAGTTTACAGAATAAGTGATCAATTTTGGGGCCGGTGCAATAGTACAGTGGGTAAGGCGCTTGCCTTGCAGGTGGTCAACCCAGGTTCAATCCCTGGCATCCCATGTGGTTCCCTGAGCATTGATGAATTCCTGAGTGCAGAGCCAGGAGTAACCCCTGAGCACTTGCTAGGTGTGGCCCATAAAACAAAACAAATAAAAATAAAAGTGATCAATTTTTTTTGTTTTGGGACTATACCCGACTGTTCTCAGGGATCATTCCTGGAAGTGGATTAGATCTAGGGCTCCATCTGTGTTGAATTCATTCCAGTACTAGGTGCTTGCTCCCCTGTTCCCATTCCCCAATGATTGCTGATTAAAACATTCCTTTAGAGGCTGGAACAATAGTACAGCAGGTAGGGCGCTTGCCTTGTATGAGGCTGATCCGGTTCAATCCCACACTTCCTATATGATCTCCTGAGCACTGCCAGGAGTAATTTCTGAGTACAGAGCCAGGGTAACCCCTGAGCACTGCCGGGTATGACCCAAAAAGGCCCCCAAAATTTTCTTTATTGGGGACAGAATGATAGTACAGCAGGTAAGCCACTTGCCTTGAAAGTGGCTGACCCAGGTTCGATTGCTGGCACCCCATATGGTTACCTAACTTCACAAGGAGTGATCCCTGGGCACAGCCAGGTGTAGCCCCCAAACCAAACACACACCCCCATAAGTATTTCTTTCTCATGCAAACATCCTCATTCTCTTCAGATTCTTCAGATTTCAGACATCTAAAATTCAATAATAATGTATTTTTTTTACTTTTGCTGTCTAAGATTATCTGATAACAAATTAGATACTAATTTTTGTTTATCATAGCTACCACCTTCCTCCAGTCCTTAATTTTCTTAATAATTATTTTTCAATTTAAAATCATGACATTTTCAAATAAAGAACTATAGCATCTAAAAATAAGGATACATTTTCTTGTTTGCAAGAGCTTAGGTTGTTTCAGAGCTTAGGTGTATGTTAGGTTTTGACAGTGTTCCAATAACGCGATGGATATAGGACAAACAGAAAAGAATCCATACAGCTAAAAATGGTATGGATTTTTATCCATCCCAATACTCTCCAGTTTCTGTATTATGGATCAATTAGTTCTAAGTTAAACTAAAGGAAAAGAGGAACTCGAGACCACAAGAGCACAGGCAACCCAACTCTTTCTACCAGCATTGTGGTCTTGTTCAGATAGAAACGATAATATGTAACCAGCCTCTTGAAAACATTTGCTCAAAAAACAAAGATCTCTGAATGGAGATAAAGCCTCTCAGTTTACATGAGTTCTGTCAAAGTTCTTTATTCTCTCTCATTTAAAAAAAAAAGAAAGGAAGAGTTAAGATAAGGCGTACTTACTTGTCAATACACACTTTAATTTTAAGCTGATAATTTAACTCAGGGAATTTAACCAGCAATCTGTTAGAAAAAGGGAAAAAAGTATGTGTGAGCAAAAGCACTAATCTATTAAAAAATATCAGTAAGTTCCTACCCCAAGGCTCTAAGTATCTAGTTAAAAAAACAAGTAACAGACTGCTAAATATATCCTTCCAAATCCCCCAATATATACTGGGAATACACTAAGAATGAAACATTCCCAGTTCCCCCACTTCCAATGCCAGCTGTGATCTTAAATTGAATCACCACCTCAGAGAAAAGCAGGATTGAAGAACAGAATACCAGCAGCATTATTCTGCCCCTTTTGCAGAGCTGAGGAGACATGAAGACCCCAGACTACAGGTCAGGAAACACGGCCCGCGGCTGCCCTTCCTGGAATTTTGGCCAGAAGAAGGGAGAGCTTCTCAGACAGCAAATCCCACATCCACTGTGGACTGCCTATGGTGGCTCAAAAAGAACACCCTGCCCACCAACCCTACTCTCCCTCAGTAAACATCTCCCTGTGCCACACCCACCTGACTTTAGTAGTAAACTGGACCCCCGTCTTGATGACTAATGGCCGGTCGGGGTGCATGGGCATGCAAGGCTGCCGCTCTACCACGAAGGCACTGCAAGACGGAGACAGGACAGCGGTCACAGCCTGGCCTGGGCCCTTGGAAGTACATCAGTCTCTCCCCTGGGATGGGATTTGGGTGGGGAGATGATGAGGGAAAGGGAGAGAAATTCCAAGTGACCTTTTCATTAAGTTTCGAAACAACTCCACGATCCTCTCCTCCAGCATGGGCCGATGCTGGACGATGGGATCCCCCTTGTAGGAGACCTTCTGCTGCAACTCCTCCAGTTTCTTAATTTGCTGGCGGGTCTGAAGCTGAGATTCTGCTAGTGAGGTTATCCTGCCAACACAATGCTAATGTTAGAAACCAAGGCAGTGTTCAGGGGTGCCGGTGGGGCTCGGGGAGGAGGGTGGGGGGATGGAGTAGGGGAAAGGGAAACCACAGAAATAAATAAATTCACTGTTCCATTCCCTCAAACAAGGGGGACTCTGTCTGTGTGTGAATATATACAACCTAATATTGACCTTTTCTCAACGTGCAGTTCAGTGGCATTAAGAAAAGGAAAATTTATTGTGGCCTTCTAAAATAGTTCCTTCTAGGGCTGGAGCAACAGTTCAGTGGGGAAGGCGCTTGCCAGACATGTTCGATCCTCAGCACCCTGTCACCTCAGAGCCCTGCCAGGAGTGATCCCTGAGTGCAGAGCCAGGAGTAATCCCAAGTACTGCTGGGTGTGGCCCAAAAATAAACAAACAGGGCTGGAGTGATAGCACAGCGGGTAGGGCGTTTGCCTTGCACGCAGCCAACATGACTGACACAGGTTCGATTCCTAGCACCCCATATGGTCCCCTCAGCACCGCCAGGAGCAATTCCTGAGTGCATGAGCCAGGAGTAGCCCCTGAGCATTGCTGGGTATGACCCAAAATGCAAAAATAAATAAACAAACAAACAAACAAACAAAATCCCTTTCTGGGGACAGAGAGACAGAACAAGAGAGACAGTACAAGGTGTAGGGTGCTTGTCTTACAACCAAACAACCCAGGTTCGATTCCTAACATCCTATATGGTTTCCTGAGCACTGCTAGGAATGAGTCCTGCGTGCAGAGCCAGAAGTAACCTCTGAGCATCATTAGGTATGGCCCCCAAACTAAAAAATAAATAAAATAAAAAAAATAGTTCCCTTTTAAAATTTTACATTTCAGTGCAGGAGGGAGACATAGAGGATAAACTAGCAAATCTTACACCACTAGGAGGCATTAACAATGATCAATGGGTCACTGTTTTAAATTATAGATCACTTGTTTGTTTTTTTAAAGTGGATGGGGAGACAATGGCTAAATAAAAAACTTGTCCCCACAAATAGAGAATACGAGCATCTCTGTTTGATGGTCTACCGCTAATGAAGACTAAAAGACCTCAAAGGGAGGGTGAAAGGCAAGAACGGATGTGGGGATGACAGCTGTGGGGACAGCTGTGGGGACTTTGAAGCACCCTCCCACTGGCACTTACATTTTCCTATTCCCAGAATGGAACCTTCTTGAGTTCCTTCTCGCTCAGAAAGCATTAAAAAAAGGTGCTTTCAGTAAATTAGCAACACTCAGACAGTTTCACTGTAGTGCTCTGTATCTGGATTCCCTCCCACGTGGGTACAACACATCATTTTCGTGTTTTGCACACCAACAATGCTCAACAGAGATTCTTCTGAATGGGGCTGGAGATATCGCTCGAGTTAGAGCACATGCTTCGCTTGCAGGAGACCCTAGGTCTAATGCTCAGCATCACATAATCGTCGAAGTACCGCCAGGAGGGACCCCCAAGCATAGAACCGGGAGTAGCCCCTGATTACTGCTGGGTGTGACCTCTTTGGTCTAATACATTTTAATTTTCCAAATACAGGAGGGGAGGAAATTGACCAAATAAAGTGAAAGTTGTAACTTTTTTTTTTTCACAGCAGTGAGGGCTTGGGGGCCATACTTCTGGCTCTGTGCTCAGGGATTACTCCTATCTGTGCTCAGTGGACCATGCACAGTGCCGTGGGTCTAACTGGGATTGGCTACATGCAAAGCAACTCAGTGCTTCTTTAACCTATCTCTCTGACCCCTAAGAGCTTTACCTCCTTAGAATTAATCTAAGTCTAAAGAAAGCCGAGGTGTTGAGATATAATGCCAATTCTTAGAACATGGAAGCATGACCATATTTAGCAGGGCTTTCCAGAGACCAGGACAGGCTTCCCTTTTATCCTTTACCAATTCTCCAGGCGGTCAAGGCAGATGTTGGGGGGCCCTCCAATGCATGCGATCTGCTGTCTCCGCTTCCAGTCAGCCAGTTCCTCGTCCGTGAGCGTCTTCTGCACATACTCCATTGCGGACAGAAGCCCTGCGAGCTCGCTTACGATGCTCTGGGTAGAAACCAGAACAAAGTGAGGAAGAAGTCCCTTCCTCCCAGTGCCTCTAAATGCAGTCTCCAGGCAGCCCCTGAGAAAGAACTTTAGAAACCAGGCAGGGAGGCTCGCTCTTACTCGCCGCATCTGGTCCAGTGCTGTGAGCATCTGCTCCAGCTGCTGCATCTTCTGCCTGGTCACCGACTGGTTGTTCCCGTTTAGATCCTGCATGTCTGTGGATGAAGGAGAGACTCTTGGACCCGTAGGAAAACCCCTCTCCTCAGTAACCAGGTGCCCTTATACATCAGTCGTCCCCAAGCACCCCACAACCGCCACCAAAAGCCTGAGCCTTGCTTTGAGTCGACAAAGTTTATGAACACAAACTCCCTTTCTGGAGGAAATGCAAATGTCTCAAGTCACTTGCCTCCTTGACTCTTGAGGGTTTTGTAGTTGAAATCGAAGTCATCTTGGAGGTTCTCTACCACTTTCATTTTCTGTTCTAGATCCTGTTTCAAAGAACCAAACAAAACCAAAGTTGGGAAAAAAAATGTCCCTGGGGACAGGGAAGAGAACATTTCTGAGAAGAACAAAAATGAAGCCTGAACCTCAAAAGAGACCCAAACCCGGTCTCTCCAGAAAGGCCTCCTGCTCGGCCCTACATCACCTGGACTCGCTTCCGAACATCCTGGAGGTGCTGCTCCAGCATCTGCTGCTTCTCTGTCACCACGGCAGCTGTGGGGTGGTTGGCCTGGCCCCCTTGCTGCCAAAAAAGGAAACCAATATACATGTGATTGTCGGAAATGGGGAGGAAGGGATTCCGGGGCTCTGTCTCTGTTCAGCCCAAATAGTGGGGCCTGAGCTGCTGCTGGCAGAGTAAAGGAGGGATCACTCCTAGCAGGGATTGCGGGGGGGGGGGGGGCATCTGGGGTGCCATGGATCAAACAGGTCAACTCTTTGCAAGAAAAGCCCCGACATGTGAAATTTTAATATGATGTGTTTTGTTAAACAGCTTCCAAGAAAAAAGACCATGTAAAAGCTGTTGTGATCAGGGGCTGGAGCAATAGCACAGCTGGTTGGGCGGTTGTCTTGCATGAGGCCGACTTGGGTTCAATTCTCAGCATCCCATATGGTCCCCTGACCACCGCCAGGGGTAATTCCTGAATGCAGAACCAGGATTAACTCCTGTGCATCGCCGGGTGTGACCCCCCCCCAAAAAAAAAGCTGCAATGATCAGACTGGGGAACAAAGGCAGAGATACATTGACAGAGTCCCAATGGCACGGCACTGAGCTCCAAGAGAAAGTGTACATCTGATTTTCCAAACTAGAACCCCTCAGCTGTCTTTGATTTCACAGTGTATCACCAAATCCTCTCCCTCTGGATTCAGTAATTTCTCAGCTTCATCTTTGGTGAGTAAGGATGGTTTAAGCACCACCTTCTGCTCTCTTTGCCTCTAATATTAGTCTCACTCCAATTTGGTCACTCTCTCAAAAAGATGTGAACAGGCCAGTGTTATAGGGAACCACTCTCTCCCTCTTCCAGTCCCAAGTATGCAAAGCACAAACTTCTCTTAGAAGGAGCCTTGGCCCCTACTTAATTCCTCCTCACAGTGACTCAGCAGACTGGGGAGACTGGAAAAAAGACACGGAGGCACACAAAGACCTTCCCACTAAACCCCACAATACTGGGCCAATAGCACAGTGGATAAGGTACCTGCCTTGCATGAAGCTGACTTGAATTTGATCCCCAGCATCATATATTACTGCTAGACATAATCCCTGAGCAGCACCAGGTATGGCCTCAAAATAGAAACAAACAAACTCCACATATTTTTTCTTATTGGGGCCACACAGTGATGTTGGGGGTGCTGAGGTGTCCAGGGCCATGCTTCCAGCCATGCTCCCTACCTTTGGTGCAGAGCTGGCAGATCTGTGCTTGGGGGTAGGACTTGGGGTCTTAACACCTGCGAGGCAGGTGCTCTATCTGTTGCACTCCCTCGCCTGCTCTAGCCCTCCAGCACATTTAAGCGGGCGCCTGTCTCCTTCGGCACACTTAGGGCAAATCCAAGTGTCCGGTTTCAAGAGGCAGCTCTGTATTCAGCAGAAACTGGTATTGGTCTCTGGAACTTCTATGACTGGCTGGCAAACACTACTCTACCTGCCCAGTCTCTCTAGCCCAAGATCTAATTCCCAGGGTGGGCAACAAAAAGCCCCACCGGTTACCTGTCCGAGCCATGCTTTCCAGCCTTGCTTTACCCATACCACAGCTGGCATTTTATCCTATATTCAACTCCCATGTTGACTTCTCAGTTCATGCTATCCCTGGTGGGGACAACAGACACGATTAGCTATCAATCACAGACGCCTGCTTTGAATACCTTCATACAAATTATTGGCTCCTGACTGCTTCCACGAGTGAACATCTCAGCCTAGTAGAGAAGGATGCTCCATATAATCTGCAAACAATAAAGCTTCCCTCTCCGTGCTTCGGGAAACCCTGGAGCACCCCCATATAGCAGATTTCCACTCTATCTCTCCCTTGGCCGGTGCTTTTGCCCAACTATGCCTGCGCTCCATCACTTCAAACTCTGCAAACGTTGGTGCTTCTCTGAAACCTGATTCAACTTCCCCTGTTAAATTACTCATATCCTCCGTGTTTCTCTCACTTTGAGTGTTTGTATACCTTTAATCCCTAATATCTTTAATATCTCTAATCTAGTCCTGGGAGCAGAAATCACCTCTCATCTTTCCATTTCCTGGCACTCCACCTTTTTTTAATCACACATCAATAACATGCCTGCCGCACATATTCATTTTGATTGCTATGAATCAGATCTTTTCTGACATTATATACAAGGTTATTTCTGCTGTTGTGTAAGGGGACAACTGTGCAACTCTGCCCATTTTTATCTTGGAGGCTGGAGAAACAGTACAGCAGGTACTATTAGGGGGCTTGCCCTGCATACGGTCAACATGGGTTTGATCCCTGGCGCCCCAGACAGTCCCCTCAGCTGGCCAGGAGTGACCCCTACGCACAGAGCCAGGAGTCAGCCCTGAGCTCATCTGGGTGTGACCCCCAAAATGAAACAAAACAAATTTTATTTCTCTTGAATACAATAACCTTCCTGAACTTTATTAGTTCCAGCAGATTTCTGATTTGCTTTCTGGGTTTTGTATTTCTCCCCTGCACTCCCCCTGTTGCTGCTGCTATCATTGCTGCACCATCCGGGGCTTGGCTGGACTCTTGGCAGTGGTGCTCTAGGGGATTCCAAGGGGTCCCAGCGGGGCAGGGTCACAACAGGCAAGTGCTCAGGGATCACTTCGGGTAGACTTAGGGACCATATAGGATGCTGGGGATTGAACCTGGGCCAGACATGTGCAAGACAAGCACCAACCTCATTGGATTATTGCTCCAGCCCAAACATGAACATACTTTAGACTAACTGACTTAGAAGGACTTATGATATGCTACTAAACCGAAAAAGATCAAGATGCAGAGTAAAGACCCATTCTAAGTGAGAGCCAGGAAAATAGTACAGAGGTTAGGGTGCACATCTTACATGTGTCAGACCCCGGTTCAATCCCTGGCCCTTGATCCATCATGAGGTGTAGCCCTAGGTCCACTTCCCACTCTCCCAGCACCACAAGCCCTCACACTGAAGAATCCCGACATCTGTATTCTGGGGTAGGGGTCATGCACACACTAAGAGCATGTGAGGTGAACAGAGCTTTGTACTTAGTGGAAGCTGGCTGGCTTCCCAGCCCTCACCTGGGCCGCAGTGGCTGCCGTCTGAAGGAGGCGGGACTCTTCCCACAGGCACCGAGCCACAATCCGGGCAATCTCCATGGGCTTCTCCAGATACCTGCTCTGTAAGGAGAGGAAGAGAACGAGAAAACTTTAGCTCATCTACGGGACTGATGCGAACAGAACGTCGCTAATTCAGACTAACTTCCTCATAAACCTAGACAAATGTTACATTGACTCTTGAACATCTATCTCTGAGGCTGAGAGCAATCAGTGGGGATGGAGAGAAGAGGAGGAAAGGCAGCCAAGATGTGGGTGACTCCAAGAGGAGCCACAGTGAAGTCTGAGAGATCTGATTTTTGTCACAGGGTACCATATTCTACCAAGAAATTGTACTGGTTTTTTTGTTGTTGTTGTTGTTGTTGTTGTTTTAAAGTAACACGGGCACAATTTTAAAATTTTACTTTAGTTATTTAGTTTTGGGGTTTGAGGTTACAATCAACAGTGTTCAGGAGTGGTTCCTGGCTCTGTGCTCAGAGCTCATTCCTAGTGATTAGAGGATATTGAACTAGGGTTGGCCATACCCCGTATCTCTGTACTATTTCTCTGACTCCACAATTCTTTTTTAAAGCTTCACATAATGATCCTGCCCTACAATTTTGCCAATTTTTTTTTTTTTGCTTAACATCTTCAACAATTATGCAGTGAAATGTGGTCAAACCTGTAACGTTTGGGGTTGGGAGATGACTCAAAGGGCTGGAGCACATGCTTTGCATGAAGGAGCCCCAGCTCTAATCCATAGTACCTCCAAAATGAGCCTACCCCCACTCTCCCCAAGCACCATGCCAGGTGTATCTCCAAGGGGGGAAAAAAACAATTCCTTTAACCTTGAAAAGTAAAAGCCCTCTTTCTAAGAGGTGACCTGGTTATAATCATGCTCTTTTTCTTTTATCCAGCTTTTGAGCCACACCTAAAGGTGCTCAGGATTATTCCACAGGCCTACTGCATACAAATCAAGATGCGTGCACTGCCAAGTTTTCTCTCTGTCCCCTACAATCAAAGTGAATTTCAGATAATGAGAGGGCATGTATGTAGGTTTTTTTTTTTTAAAAAAGAGCTAAGAACTTAAAAAAAAAAATGTACAAAAAAGTACAAGAGAGGCACTCCTGACCTGGCCAAATGGGAAAAAAGATTCTTCCAGGAAAGAAAGTTAAAGCCCCGACGCATGTGTAGTGGGTTCACACCTGCAGAAACTGCTTGATCCTGCGCAGGTTGTGCTGATAGAGGACATTGGACTCCTGGAGGAAGCGGCTGTACTGCTGGTCGATCTCACCCAAGAGATTGTGAAACACCAAAGTGGCATGTGATTCTTTGCTGGCTGCATATGCCCTGGGGAAAGGAAGAACAATAAACGACTGATTCTGAAACCTATTCATACCACACTACACCAACACGTATAGAATCAAGGAAAAGGAGAAAAAATAAAAATCAGTCCAAAGGCTGCATTGATCACTTTAGACTCGCCCTGCTTAGCAGTAACATGAAGGGCTTTAGAGTCTTACCCAAATTTGTGGACAGATTACAAGCATTAAATACGGAACCCCAGGTTAGGATAAACTTGCCTCACCATTTGAATCACTTCCCAGTACCCCCCAAAATCTGAAAAAATTGTGTTAGAGGCTAAAATAAATAAAAGGTGGATCTGCATGCATCCAAGTGTGGATAAGTCGCTGTTCCCTACTGACTTTCTCTTGAATTAAAAAGGGAACCATAAGGATTGATCCATATTTCTTCTCTTTTTGTTGTTTTAGTTTTGGGGCCACACCCAATGATGCTCAGGGATCACTCCTGGCTCTGCACTCAGGAATTACTCCTGGCAGTGCTCATGGGACCATATGGGATGCTGGGAATTGAACCCAAGCAGGCTGTGTGAAAGGTAAGCACCCTACCTACTGTACTACCACTAAGGCCTTGAATGAACCCGAACTTCTACTGAGGACAGAATTCTCAGAAAAAAATAACTGTAATGCACCCCAGAGTGTCAGAACATACAGCGGAACTCACTAGGGAGATAAGAGCTAAGTTGATCTTAAAAATATCTACTGCCAAGCAGGCTATTTCAATGGGCCTACAGAGAGTTGCCTGTTTGTCCTAATAGAGAAATGGTTTTAAAAATATTTCTTTAATCTCCTCATCTCTATTAGCCCATTCACCTGCATCATTATATTTTGTTTTGTTTTCCATGAAGTGGTTAGCCTGGAGTTAAGCTAGAGCAGACCATGTCTCTTGTCTCAGATGAAAACTAATGAGCAGGGGAGTTTCTTAAGAAGCATTTACCAGTCTTGGCTCTCGATCCAAGGGGCCAGGAACTGGCGCAGCTCCATGGGGAAGCTATCACTGTAGAGCTGGTGAAGCTGCTCCAGGTACCGCGTGTCCAGCTGCTGGAGCTGATTCCATTGTGCCATCCTGCTGGAATCGGGGTCCCAACTGCAAAGCAGAGTGTTTAGAAGGTCATTACTAAGCCCAGCCAGATAAAAGATCTTGAAATACTCCCATCAGCTCATCACAGGCCTCAGGTCTGTGACTAGGATGAAATATGCTTTGTTGCAGGAAGGGGAAAGTGCTGAAGAGATGCATTTCATGCAGCCAACCCTAAATTCAATCCCTGAGACTGCCACATGGTTCCCCTACAGGTGTGATCCCTGAGCACAGAGTCAGGAGTAAGCCCGGAGCACTGCTAGGTGTGGCCCTCAAACAAACAAACTTTGGAAAAGATCCTACATATTTCTCCCAATTTACAATATATATCTCTTTCTTAGAACAATATCACTTCTTCTAAAAGCTATTTAATTAATTATTTTATTTGGTTTTGGGGCCACACTCAGCAATACTCAGGGGTTATTCCTGGCTTTACACTCAGGAATTATTCCTAGTAACAAAACTACTTTAATTTTTATTTAAAAAAATTGGGGGACAGGGGGACCATGTCCAGAGATAGCCAGGGAACCATGTGTGGTGCCAGGGATCAAACCCAGGTCAGCCACCACAAGCAAGGAAAGCACCTTACCAGCTCTGCTATCTCCCTGGCCCCACTAATTTTGTTTTTTAAATTTCTAAGTCTGAAATGAGAAAAAAAGAAAAAAGAATACCAGGCACACAAAATGACAAAAGTTCATGAATGTCTCCAGAGAAAAGCTGAGATGAGAAATAAACCTAAGAGCTGGAGTGATAGCATAGCGGTAAGGCATTTGCCTTGCACATGGCCGACCCGGGTTCAATTCCCAGCATCCCATATGGTGCCCCGAGCACTGCCAGGAGTAATTCTTGAGTGCAGAGCCAGGAGTGACCCCTGTGCATCGCTGGGTGTGACCCTCCGCCCTCCCCCCCCCGCAAAAAAAAGAACTAAACCTAGAGCTGGACTGATAGTACAATGCCCAGAGCACTTGCCTTGCTTGAGCCCAACTGGGTTCGATCCCTGACATCCCATAGGGTCCCCTGAGTACTGCAAGGAGTAATTCCTGAGCAATGCTGGGTGTAACCCAAAAACCAAATACATACCACCCTCCCACGTCACCCCTCCCCATAAAAGAAATTAATCTCATTAAGTGCCTTTAAGTCTCTTCCTGAAAAGTGTGGATCATGCCAGAATGGACTTTACACTTATTGGAGTCAGTGAGATAGTACAGCGCCAGGTTTGATCCTCAGCACTCTATATGGTTCCCCGAGTCTGCCAGGAGTGATCCCTAAGTGCCAGAGCCAGGAGTAAGCCATGAGCATTGCCGGGTATGGCCCCTCAAAATGAAAAATAAAGGCTTCCTCCTTTGGGGCATCTCCCATGCCTTTGTAGTTGTGTCCTTCCTCACCATCTCCCTTCCCCCAAGCACAGATGTGAGTGAGTAGTGGCACACGCACAGCGGTGAGGGCTGATATGCAAGCAGGAGATCCCTAACACCCTGTATGCAAAACCACGGAGCCAGGACAGGAGCGACAACACAGCAGGGAGGGTGCAGGCCTTGCTCGTAACCAAACTAGTGTGATCCCTGACCACGTATGGTCCCCGAGCGCTGTCTGGAGTGATCTGAGCATGGAGCCAGGAACTTGAGCACATGGTTTATATACAGAGTCTAGTCACTAACTTACATGTGACTACTGAGCATGCAAAATGTGGTTGATCCAAATTGAGATGGCTGTGTAAGTGCAAACTACACACTCACTTTGAAGACAGTACCACAAAATATCTCAATTCAATCCCTGTTAGATCAGTACCTTGATATATTGGCTTCTGTAAAATATCGGATTAAAATTAACACCACTGGGATCAGTCAGAGCTCTATAGACCACAGCACAGGTGCTGCCTGTAAGAGGTCCAGGTTTGACTTCTGGTACCACATAACAGTCCCCAAAGTACTGCCAGGAGGTCACTCCTGAGCACTGCTAGATGCGGCCTCCAAACTGAAAACCCAGGAACAGATATTAAGGGGGTTTTTGTTATGATGGCTTTTGGTTTCACTTGGGAACAAAAAGAGCTAAGAAGTTATGCAATATATTGGGTTATTGCACAGCGGTAGGGCGTTTGCCTTGCACGCAGCCAACATGGCTGACCCGAGTTCGATTCTTCTGCCCCTCTCGGAGAGCCCGGCAAGCTACCGAGAGTATCTCGCCCGCATGGCAGAGCCTGGCAAGCTCCCCGTGATGTATTCGATATGCCAGACACAGTAACAACAAAGTCTCCAATGGAGACGTTACTGGGCCCGCTCGAGCAAATCGACGAACAACGGGAGGGCCTTTACCTTTTTTTTTTATTTCTAAAATCAGAGATGAGGTAGTTTTTCCCAGGGGCCAGAGAGATAGTACAGCAGGTAAAGCACTTGTCTTGCATTCAGCCAACCCGGATTCTCAATCCCAGGTACAACGTAGGCTCCCCTGAGCCCAGAGTTAGGAGTAAGCCCTGAGTACCACTAGGTATGCCCATGCAAATTACAAACAAAAACAAAAACTACTTTCCCCATAAAATTATACCACACAAAAAAAGACAAAGCTATTTACTATGGTGAAACTGTGCTAAATGTCCTACATAGAAAAACAAAAAGTGGCAAAGCCAAAAAGTCGCAGTATTTTCAGAATATGGGCAAAGAGTGGAACAGCAATTTATCTAATCTTTTTGCTTGGCTGCAATCCTGTTGATTAATAGGAGCCACAGGGCAGGAGGACTAAAGGCTCTTCATAATACCTGCATATCTGGGCTGGAGCAATAGTCCAATCAGGGTGAGCACACGCTTTGTATGTAGGAAACCCAGATTTGATCCCAGCACCAAATGGTCCCCTAGCAGGGAGTAGCCCCTGAGAACACCCAACACATAACTGGGTGTGGTCCCCAAACCCAAAATAAAACAAAATCACTGCATAACTATAGGATATCATTCACCAGGTAGCTAAGAAAAGCACTGCCAACCTGCTTTGTATAATTATTTGACTGGAAAAGATTCAGGAGTCCATTTTATTTCACACTTGTAATTCTGGTTTTTCAAATAATAAATTAAGGAATGCCACTAAGTTACAAGTAAAGTATTTCATATCTATGGAATATGTGTCTATTTTTGAGCCCCACACACCTGGCTCTGAGCTAGAGATTATTCCTGGTGGGCTCAGGGGACCATATGTGGTGCCCGATTGAACCTTGGTTGACTGCATGTGAGGTAAATGTCCTACCTGCTATACTATCAATATGACCTGCTCAATGAAATATCCTTTTGGGATTCTTCTTTTTGGGGGGGGGCAACCCAACAGTGCTCAGGGCTTACTCCTGGCTCTGCACTCAGGAATTACTCCTGGGGGATTCAAAGAACTTTATGAGAGACTAGGGATCGAACCCAGGTTGGCCGTATACAAGGCAAACACCCTACTATAGCTCTGGCTCTCTATGCAATAACGCTAAGCCTATGGCTTAATAACCCTTTTCACTGAACCCCAGAACACAGAAAGTGATTGAAAAGTCATGAGAAGTGCAGGATGTTAATTCTATGAGGGAGTTGGCTCAGTGCAAGTCATAGGGTCTATTCTCCCAGTTATATTTAATCACTAAATCATTCTCCCAGCTACACAGGCTAGTGTATAAAGAAAAGCTAAGTGTGATCCTTGTTTTATACAACTAAACTGAAAAGAAAAACAAAAATGAAACAGCAAGTTGCTAAAGTATTTCTGGACTTTTTAAAACGGGAATTTCTCAACCCCTTGGGGATAATCTACCAGTAACAAGTCATAAGGCAAAGAACTATTGCCTGATGGGGAACTTATTACTGTAAAGATACTAAAAAGCCTGCCCAAAGCCACAGTTCTCACTTGTCTATTTCAATCTAAAAAAACTAAATGGGGGTTGGAGCGATAGTGCAGCAGGTAGAGTGTTTGTCTTGCACACTGCCAGCCTAGGTTTGATCTCTGGTATCCCATATGGCCTCGGTGCATCACTAGAATAATTCCTGAGCCATGAATAACCCCTACGCATCATTGGGTGTGACCCAAAAAGCACCTTCCCACCAATAAAAAGGAACTAAAGGGGCCAGAGACATACTCATGGGCTGAGCACATGCTTTGCCTGCAGGAGGCCCAGGTTTGATCTCTAGAACCACATGGTCCCCTATTAGGGAGTAACTCCTGAGAACCTCCTGGTGTAGCACCAAAACAAAACAAAACAAATAAAACCTCCAAGTAATGTATTTAGAAACACAAGTCAGAACAATTTACAGAAAGAAATTTTACAGACGCACAGCAGGGACTTGCCTTATACGTGCCAAACCCGGCACCACCAAAAGTGATCTCTGAGCACAGAGCCAGGAGTAACCCCTGAGCACTGCCAGTGTGGCCCCAAAACAACAACAATGACAAAAAAGACTTATACTTCACATCCATATATACTAAGGCGTAATGGACAAAGAGAGAGAGAGAGAGAGAAGAATGAAAACCAGGCTCGTGCAATAATTCAGAATAGAAAGTGAAAAAGATCACTTTCTGTTCCACCATCCAATGTGTCAAAAGATTCTTTGGGTGTTAACCATATTCTCTATCAGAAATACCTCCGTTTTTGATAGAGCATTTCTGTATTTTATCTGACCGCTACATTAAACTCCTGTTTACCAGAGGAAAGGCTAAACCAAGATGACCAATACATAAAGTAACATGAGTATATCTGTACTCATTTCTATAGAAATTAGAGTTCTCTCTGTGTATCCCATTTTCAGTGTCATTAAGTCATTTTTTAAATAAATATTTAATACTAAGAAAAAAATCCACAATAATTATATCACCCAAATGCTCAATTTCACTCCCCAGAACTATGACTGACCCATTGATATGTATCTCAGAGTGTTTGAATAACTTCTTTCTTTGGACCGGATATGGTAGAGTGGGTAAGATGCTTACCGTGCATGTAGCTGACCCAGGTTCAATCCCCAGCATCCCATAACGGTCCCTGTGCCCCACGAGGAGTGATC